CCTAATAGGATAGAAAAAGTTGACCAATCTTAATAAAACTTGGTATGAATAAAGCTTAATAAACTATGAGACTGCTTACAAAGTTTCATGGCAATAAGATATACATTATAGACAATATGATAAATTTTATATTCAACTTTGCGTGTTAAATTTTGACGTTAAAATTGAAAATTTTCAACTATCAACATTTGGGGCTTTTAAAATTAAAATATTGCAAAAAAATACTTTTAAAATGCCTTAATATATATTATATCATGTATTAAAAGCAATAGAGTACTCATTTGATATATCCGACTTAGCATAATTATTCAAAAGTCAAATTTATATGAGCCTGTGCCTAAAAATGGAGGTTTTCCAATGAAGGGGGGTCTTACATGAAGATGTAATATTTTCCAGCAATTTTAAATTTGTGAAGCTTTTTGGTTATAAATAATCCTTACATATGTATTTAATGTACTTTAAATGGAAAGAAAACTTACAAATAACATATCATATTAGTTTAAAAGGGTCTTAGGCCAAGTAAGACTGAAAATAATTTAGGGTCAATTTAGGCCGTAGCACATATTTACATTTAAAAATGCATATTGAAGCTATAGGAAATAAAAATGTGTGTCTTTTCTATCATTTCTATACTCAGGTGACATGATATAATAAATCTGAGCACAAAAAGACTCTTGCATTCAACTTTTTTGGCAGACAGTATGGTCTGATACAAAGATTTTTCACTTTTTAGTGAAAAACTTGCAGGCAATTTTAGTCTCAACAGGCTTATATTTGAACCACTTACTATCCTACAGATAAAAAGAAAGATATTATGTGAAATGAAACAGGTACAAAAGACATTATTTAGTGCTTTTTATACAAATTTAGTGAGGTTTTTATTATGGACTTCAACTTTTATGTACCAAGCTCCTCCCATTTAACTTGATCCAAACAGGGCGTTAGACGAGGGTCATTAATACAACACATTTTGCACATATTGTCTGAGATAATTTTCTTTTCTGTTGATTCAGAGTTCACAAATGAGTAATACAACTGGATTAAAGCATAGAAACACAAATATTGACACATGAAAACCTGTCAGATAGAAAGTCAGAATGCCACTTATGCATCAAAATTGAAAAAGCTATGAAATGCTTATTTTAACCATATAATGCCAAAATTGGTCATTTTTGCAGAAATTCTATCAAATAAAAGTTTATATCCTTTAGTTTCATGCTATTTGACAAATTGACACCATCAAATCAATCAGAGAAGTTGCCAAAGTACAGATTCTATATTTCCTGATTTCACCTCTTAGGTCCGAGTACACAGTTATTTCGTAGTGCATTTCTTTTAGACAACAAATGAAAATTAAAAAAATCCCACCTGCGCTTTCTCAATAATATTTTTACAGTGTGTTGTACTACTTTTGGGACAAATTATATCAAAATTATAGAAAACTTCATCGGCTCTAACTCAAAATATGGACAATTTTATGTTAAGGGGGTCTTGAAATCTTTTGACGGCTTCCGAAGTGCTTATTTTTAACCTTTTTCAGCTGGACCAAATCACTACTTTACTTTAAATTCATGACCCAAATTTTTTTACAGTGTAATTTCATCCCCCTACTTGCTATTTAAGGCATAAAACATGGAGAAATAAATTTGGAAGGGGTATAAAAAAAATTGGCAAGTAACACACTGTCCACACTAGGGACTATATTTGTGGACAACGAAAATCAAAGGACGATAACTGTGTACTCGGACCTAATAGGATAGAAAAAGTTGACCAATCTTAATAAAACTTGGTATGAATAAAGCTTAATAAACTATGAGACTGCTTACAAAGTTTCATGGCAATAAGATATACATTATAGACAATATGATAAATTTTATATTCAACTTTGCGTGTTAAATTTTGACGTTAAAATTGAAAATTTTCAACTATCAACATTTGGGGCTTTTAAAATTAAAATATTGCAAAAAAATACTTTTAAAATGCCTTAATATATAATATATCATGTATTAAAAGCAATAGAGTACTCATTTGATATATCCGACTTAGCATAATTATTCAAAAGTCAAATTTATATGAGCCTGTGCCTAAAAATGGAGGTTTTCCAATGAAGGGGGGTCTTACATGAAGATGTAATATTTTCCAGCAATTTTAAATTTGTGAAGCTTTTTGGTTATAAATAATCCTTACATATGTATTTAATGTACTTTAAATGGAAAGAAAACTTACAAATAACATATCATATTAGTTTAAAAGGGTCTTAGGCCAAGAAAGACTGAAAATAATTTAGGGTCAATTTAGGCCGTAGCACATATTTACATTTAAAAATGCATATTGAAGCTATAGGAAATAAAAATGTGTGTCTTTTCTATCATTTCTATACTCAGGTGACATGATATAATAAATCTGAGCACAAAAAGACTCTTGCATTCAACTTTTTTGGCAGACAGTATGGTCTGATACAAAGATTTTTCACTTTTTAGTGAAAAACTTGCAGGCAATTTTAGTCTCAACAGGCTTATATTTGAACCACTTACTATCCTACAGATAAAAAGAAAGATATTATGTGAAATGAAACAGGTACAAAAGACATTATTTAGTGCTTTTTATACAAATTTAGTGAGGTTTTTATTATGGACTTCAACTTTTATGTACCAAGCTCCTCCCATTTAACTTGATCCAAACAGGGCGTTAGACGAGGGTCATTAATACAACACATTTTGCACATATTGTCTGAGATAATCTTCTTTTCTGTTGATTCAGAGTTCACAAATGAGTAATACAACTAGATTAAAGCATAGAAACACAAATATTGACACATGAAAACCTGTCAGATAGAAAGTCAGAATGCCACTTATGCATCAAAATTGAAAAAGCTATGAAATGCTTATTTTAACCATATAATGCCAAAATTGGTCATTTTTGCAGAAATTCTATCAAATAAAAGTTTATATCCTTTAGTTTCATGCTATTTGACAAATTGACACCATCAAATCAATCAGAGAAGTTGCCAAAGTACAGATTCTATATTTCCTGATTTCACCTCTTATAATAGGATAGAAAAAGTTGACCAATCTTAATAAAACTTGGTATGAATAAAGCTTAATAAACTATGAGACTGCTTACAAAGTTTCATGGCAATAAGATATACATTATAGACAATATGATAAATTTTATATTCAACTTTGCGTGTTAAATTTTGACGTTAAAATTGAAAATTTTCAACTATCAACATTTGGGGCTTTTAAAATTAAAATATTGCAAAAAAATACTTTTAAAATGCCTTAATATATAATATATCATGTATTAAAAGCAATAGAGTACTCATTTGATATATCCGACTTAGCATAATTATTCAAAAGTCAAATTTATATGAGCCTGTGCCTAAAAATGGAGGTTTTCCAATGAAGGGGGGTCTTACATGAAGATGTAATATTTTCCAGCAATTTTAAATTTGTGAAGCTTTTTGGTTATAAATAATCCTTACATATGTATTTAATGTACTTTAAATGGAAAGAAAACTTACAAATAACATATCATATTAGTTTAAAAGGGTCTTAGGCCAAGTAAGACTGAAAATAATTTAGGGTCAATTTAGGCCGTAGCACATATTTACATTTAAAAATGCATATTGAAGCTATAGGAAATAAAAATGTGTGTCTTTTCTATCATTTCTATACTCAGGTGACATGATATAATAAATCTGAGCACAAAAAGACTCTTGCATTCAACTTTTTTGGCAGACAGTATGGTCTGATACAAAGATTTTTCACTTTTTAGTGATGAAAAACTTGCAGGCAATTTTAGTCTCAACAGGCTTATATTTGAACCACTTACTATCCTACAGATAAAAAGAAAGATATTATGTGAAATGAAACAGGTACAAAAGACATTATTTAGTGCTTTTTATACAAATTTAGTGAGGTTTTTATTATGGCACATTATTTGAATCGTGCAGTCATATAAAAGACTCATACGGTCAGGTATGCTTTGGAAATTCAAGTTTATCAGACTACTCAATTGTCTCTATTTGTGTATATTTCTAAAGATAAATCCGAATATCTAAAAGACTTTTTTATTTGTATAATGCTTAATGTAAAGGGGAAACCGGTACAGTTTGGTCTTTGTAAAGATGTTGTGAATCAATTTGTAGCAAAAACAGAAATTAAAAATGGACGAATATATTATAAATAAAGATAAGAAACAAACAAACATTATTTTTTACAACGTCATAATTTGCTTTCAACTAATTGACATTCATAATAACATATCACACCATCAATAGATATTATGTGCAGAAAACGGTATGTCAGCTAAAGGAAATCATGACAAGACATGAAACTGTCGAATTCCACTGTCAAAGGAGGTGCCAATATAGTTGGCTAAAATTTTGTGATTTTTGGAACGTTTGATCCTTTCTTTTTTTTTTTGTTTGAAGATATATCATAACAATTGACAGCTAGAGAAAATGCTGATGGCTTGATAAGCTGCTTAAAGGGGCTTTCAGCTTGAGTCTAGTTGTTGTTACAATTTTTTCTGCCACTGCCTGGTTTAACCCTCGTAAGAAACTATCAGGACAAAGAATTTAGGCAACCAAAGTGGGACAAATGAGGACATGGGAATACATATATAACAAAAAAGACAGTGAGATCGATCAAAGTCTATCTATCTTTGCCTGATGTATATGCAACTTTTATCAGCTAAACGGTTATAAATATATACGCCATTCATCAATGCAAGGTAGATTGAAACTATCAGGGATTAACAGTTCATCAGCAATGAAATGTATCTAATAATAGTAAAATATACAATTTTTCGTACTCATAAACTTATATAAAATGAAGGGATTAAAAACATGTTCCTATCCAAACACTAATTTCTAGTTGGATATTTGTTTTAATTTTTGATTCATTGCATACTTATATAGATAAAAAAGGGTATTTTCCACGGTAATATAAAATGATATGAGATCTAGATACACGATCATTTGATATATAACGTACTTCAATATTTTCAGGGGGGCCACTGTTGTCTGTTCTGAAGGCGAAACACAAAGCATCTGTAACATTCTCAACTACCACACAATCTTTTCGTGAGAGTCCTCCAGGATGGGCAGGATCTGGACCAGGGTTTAATGGATATCCACCTACAATAATGTCAATAATGATCAATTATCATGATTAAACTATTAACCCCACTTATCTAGTGAACATATTATATTTAAATGAAAGATCAGAGGAGAAAATATAACGGTCATCCAACTAGTGAGCATGTATTTACCAGGAAAGGTGAGAGGAGCGCGAAAGTGACAATGGTATAGGCTATTTCACAAATAACACCGTAAAACAGAGACGAGCCAATGGATAGAATGTTCAGAATCAAAGCAAGATTTAAATCATAATCATTTTCTTTCATTTTCATTGTTGTTTATACTTACTTCTTTTAAATTTTCATAGTGTACTATGTATTTGAAATCCGCTCGAACTGATATTAATTATAATTATCGCACCTGCATGCCATGTTCCTAGTACTTCTTTCTCTTCAAACTGCCACCTAAAAAGGTTCGGTACTGCTGGTGGGCTGGTTCCAGGGTTAACACCAACAGAGACGGCTTGTATTCCTTTCTCGACCAATGTAGGTATTATTGCCTGTGTCATACCTTTACGGAAATTATACAAAATGAGTTTTGCTTCAAAAAGATATAAAAGTTCAACACTCCATAACATTTAAAAAAAGCAAACAAGCAACATAAAGAAGCCAAATTCATAGGGATATCTAAAATAACAGTCATAAGCGAATATTTAAAAAGCAAAACGAACTAGTTGGGTCAGAAGGAAGTTTTGCTTAATTTAAAGAACAGTTCTGTCCATTACACCTAATGTACAACACATATATTTAAATTTTAGATTTAACCTATCTCTTTCGTTTCATCATGACGAACACGAATAACAATGTTGAATACAATTCAAACAGAAAAAAATCCGGGCCAGCCTTACAAATATTTAATGTTTGTGGTTAGCTAGAAATCTAAAACAGAAAATCCAGTGGTCTTAAAAATCATATTTCAATACACAAAACTGACTAATATACTAAAGACTATTCTCACCCGGAACATCTCGTTGACTTAGTGTCCTATATTGTCTTGTTAAATTAAACATTGCATCCAAATCACTACTAATGTTTAAACTTAGTCCTAATAAAATTTCATTCATATTCTCTATCTGCATGTTCATTGGTCCAGCATGCCATGTTATATCCCCATATATGCTAACAGCTTCTTTGAAAGCTTGTAGTTCTTGGTCAGATGGACACTGAAATAAGAGTAACATGATATATATTAATAGAATCATGTGCATAACAGTGTAGCCGAGACCATTGATTGGCGCGCAAAAATATCCCATTGACTGGGTCAGATTAGGTGAACGTTCGTCTGTAACGCCCAAAACTCACGACGTATTTATTATAGACATTTAAACTGTGAGGTCACCAAAGGGTCTCAACGCCTAAATAAAATAATTCGAAAAACTAATCAGGAATAACCTTTGTGTTTTGATTTATATTGAATACTTACACTGAACTGCGGTCAAGCTTAGCGAAAGGTCGTGCAACATAATCAGTCAAACAAACTTTATTAGATTAACTCGTTAAGGAACGATCGTTTTCATTGGTCAATTCAAACCTTCGACCTCACACCTGCGAAAATAGAACACGCGTACTATAAAGCTGACTTCCATCGTCGTATTCCTGAACATGATTGTGTTCTTGATTATCGCATGGCAATTCTAGCTTTTATACATGTGCATGTAAAATTTTAAACTTTAATCTTAACAGTCACGTCGAAATATTCAATTCAACTGTCTCCTCTCAATTGGTCCTGGCTTAAGGGAGCTACCATTTTATTTTGATTGGGGGTGAATGACTTGGATGAAACATTTTGTCCTGCATTTTTTTTAGTTGTTATCTCTGTCCTGTCTTCTATTTTTCAGTCTGTTAGGTCCTGACTATATTTATTCGTTTATCCTGATTTTTTACATAAATCGTCATCCTGCCTTTTTTTGTCAAGTTGCTCATCCTGCCTTATCTTTTATTCAATGGACTTGTTGAATTAACGTTGTACTTGAAATGAAACCGTACTTAACTACAAAAATAACCAAATTACATACTAAAGATATTGCTCGATTTTTATAGTAAATGGGTTTGTGTTATAAACTGTCATGTTCATTATTCATATTCTTTCATAAGTTTTAGGATAGTGTGATTTTTTTTCTGATTTAGTTTACTTGATTTTGAAAAAAAAATCCCGAAATTCTAAGTAAATTCTGAACATGTAACCAGCCATGCTTTGTTTAGAGAAAAAATGGAGATAGCAAACCATGGCACAGTGGAAGGAAATGTACTTTATAAACTCCAGCGATATACTTTCTTAATTTATAATTAACTGTTTTGCTATCCTCGGTTGAAAATTATATATTGTAAATATTTAAATAGTTGCATAGAAAACAATCAGTTTTAAACAGTGTGGTTATTCACTAAATGTATTGATAAAAGGTGACTCCATTTTTGTACATACTTTTACAGTAGTCATCCTTAATTTCTTAATATTTCGTTTATAAGTTTATCATACATGTATGATTTTGTATTTCATTTTAATACGCACGCATGCCACACGTTACTTTGGCGGATTGTTCAACAATGTTATGCAAAGCTCTATTCTTACGGTATGAAATTAAAGGATAAATTTTCAACCAATCAAAATCGAAAACAGTACATTTATATAGTTCCTTATAAACTACGACATTTCTCACAAGTATTTATTTATTTTTTAGTTCCACACATGCAAAAATAAAATCTTCGCCGATGAAACATTTCAAACCTTTTTACACCAACATGCCTTCACTGAATTCATTTGAATTTCGTGGTGACCATGAAAGTACATTGCATAGTACATCTATATTCACGTGCACACATGGTACGATCTTTCGGGGACAATTTGCTCGTTTATGACACGTCATTTCTGAAGACCAAACGCTTAGCTTCTTTATTTTCGTTTTATAGCATGAAAACAATAAAAGAAGAATGTGCAACCCATCATAAATTTGAAATGGATCAGTATTATGAGATCCTTATCATAAGTAACTACGACATTGTCAGGATAATAACCTAGCGTCAATATGAAAGAAATTAAAGTGGTTCATACATTCATCCGTATAAAAGCGGCACATGTATTTTGTTTTATCCTTATATTTTTCATAGTGCGGTACAAGTGCTGCATGCATAAAGAATATTACTTAACACAAATTATTAGTATAATATTTCGACCCCACTATTTGAAATTCACAAAATACTTATTTAATTATTTCGACCAAAAATCATTGTTCTTTACGTTCGTAGTAACGTAGTACATTCCATTGTCGGTCACCTGTGTCAATTCACGTGCACACAACAATTGTTGTTGTATTTAAATCTTTCGGCCAATGAAGTGAGACGTTACAAGTTGTTTGTTTGTGATACGCCAGAATGTTATCAATGAATTATCAATCGCTAAACTTGACTGCATTTCAGTGTAAACGTTCTTTACTTGTGTTTTCGTTATGTTTTGATAATCAATTTTTATGACATCGCACGTTCTTTCAACAACAAAAAAAAAAGGATTTAACTGGCTTTAAAAGTTACAATGCATGTGTTGATTATTATCTTTTTTTTCGGACGTCAAAGCGATTTAACAATTGCGGTTGCATGTCCAATTATGTCATCTTTTAACTTTTATCTGGTCAAAATTTTATTTTAGAACGAATGCATGATCAACTTTAAAAAGTGTGCGTACACCAAACATATAGACAAAATATACTTCTGTCCTGTCTTTTTCGTACTTGCAAGTTATTAGACAATAAATAGGCTATTTGGATCAAGCCTTGTAGAATTTGCATTTACGTTTTTGAATAGGTAAAATGTATAGTTTGGTGAACTTTTCTGCTAACTACTATACTTGTGAAAAACCCTTGGCAACAGAAACATTTTCAGCTTTTTTTTTAATCGACCCAATTTACATAGTAATGGACGACTTCGTACATTTTATGATCGCAAATAAAATATGTATATAATATACTGTGCACTGTAGTTCGTATATATACTGAAACCCTTCGGCAACCCCACAGTTTAAATGTTTTTAATAAATACGTCGTGAGTTGTGGGCGTTACAGACGAACGTTCACCTAATCTGACCCAGTCAATGGGATATTTTAGCGCGCCAATCAATGGTCTCGCCTACACTGTTTTGCACATGATTCTAATACACAGTAATCCCGACTAAAATGAACGTGGCGCGCTTATCGATTATCATGATTACAGGCGTCATCTTGTATGGCCTAAAAATAGAGACCTTCTGTTTAGAATTTAAAATTGATACTATAAGTCAGAAGAACATTAGGAAAGGAACAAAATAAGCTAAAAATATTGATAGGTTATGGAGCTCCTTTTCGAGATATTTAATTTTTACGGCCGAAAATGCAATTGAACTGCAAAACTGATATATTTAATGCATTACAAAAAGAAATATTACGTTAGAGTAAATTCAGAAAAAGTGTTATTGTGATTTTCATGGTGTAGCATTGGAAACATTGGAATGTGAGGATCACTGTAACTTCATAATTCGATAATTTGTATGTCTATGAGAGACGTATATTACGGCCTTAAAATTAATCATTATATCCCTATGCAGAACCACTTATTCGACCCTATAATTAATATATCGTATAAATGCCCGCATTCTTGCTGCAGTATAAGTAATCAAGGTTTGATAGCACATCGAATACATAGTTTGATATGAGATGCTGACTTCGCTTTTTGGTCCATTGTTGAAACAAAGGCTAAAATGTTCAAGTCTCATGATTGATTCCACTGGTTTGTGGTTTTGACAGTCTATACAAGAATTCAAAACAATACAAACAAATATCTAATCGTGTAGTCTTCGTTTGCATAGATATGTTTTAAAAAGGCAGTTCTGTTTGTAAAACATGTTCGCTGTGTCAGAGCGAGATATACCAACCCTTCCGTCAAGAGTACCAAATATCATTTCTGGTTTTATTGGACTTCTTTGATTTGTTTTAATGGTGTACTTTTGAATTTCCTATTTGTTTTCGCAGTATATCTGTTGTATTTATTCTAAAAAGGAAGTTCAATTACTATATTGCGTTAGTATGGACCCATTTTTTTTTTTCATTTAGGAACGTCGTGGTTCGTTACTGTTATATATGTGTTTCCTCTTCAGACTGTGTGTTGTGAGGTGTAGTTGTTTGGATATCTTGTTGGTTTATAGGCAAATCTTTTATCATGAAAATGACACTAATGTCATAAATCCGAATCAGGTGACGGGAAAGACATTTCTTATCCAAAATATCAAACAGAATAACAATTAATTCGGTGTGTGTTAGTGGTCATGCTACAGTCAAACTGATTAATCTAATTTGGTAGTTGGAGAAGCGACTCATAAAACAAGTCTCCTCATTTAATAAATCATTGATAAGTTGGAGAAGTGACACATAAAAACATGTTTCAATATTTAAAATTATTTTAAATTGAGTGAAATTAATGCAAACCTACCTTTAATGTAATATTATTTAATGTGAAGCCTTGTGGACAGTCTACATACAAACTAACTAGCCAAGGGTGTGTTGTATATATAAACCTTTCCTGGTATTGTTTATCTCTGAGTTCTCGTGAAAGGTTCACAGCACGAGGAAAGTATTCATGGAAATATGTATTCAATATATTGTTGATAAATCCTGTCTGTGGAATGCCATTGTACCCAACATCTGTAACAGATTTATTCAAGACAAATCAGTTAGTCACTGCGTCTTTGTACATGTATGTATAATCATGTGACATTAGACCACCTCTACATTGTACAACGTTCTGGTTTTGAGCCCGGATAAGGAACATATCTTCTTGTGGACTGTTCCAAAATTCGGCTTACAATGATAGTCGTGTGCATAGCAGGATTCATAATAACACCACAGTAGATTACTACAAACAAAGACGATCGACTCGTGAACTGTAATATTTTTAAAATGTTACATTTATAATCATGGCATTGTTGTAATTTTCAAGTGATACTTTACATGAAAAATCGTTGGTGTTAGAAACGTAGGCTGTCCTAAAGTGACGTTGTTGAAGTTGCTGGATCTTCTTTTTTTATCGGACTGACTCTAGTGTACTATATTTATAAAATAGATATCTATGTTTATACATACCTAAATGATTCATAAATAATACATGGACAAAACGCACATAAGGTGGTCCATTTTTCACTGTAAAAACCTAAAACGAAAAATAAATATAAATGCAGTCAATTTGGGTACGCATTGTCCAGTTTGAACAATCACGGTTCAAGAAGTAGCATAGTTTTTAGTAATTCAACAAAAATCAGCTATTCAATCAAGAATCTATATAGCAGCTCTATATTTACCTGAGTATGATGTATTGTAATAACAATGAATGTTATTATAAACGAAATAGTGGTAGCCATCTTTATATTACAGATATGGGTTTATTATCTATAGTTATGTATTAAATGTACATATTGTGATATCTAAATTCACACCGGTATAGTGATATCTAAGATAGTAGGGTATTCACAATCAATTATCATGATTTATATATGTATGATAAAAATTATACAGTTAAGAAAATTCAATCAAGACATGAAAATGTATCCATGTTCTTACCGACAGATATGTAAATTTTGACACCCTGAAATATAAAAAAAATAATATATACACATTTATAAAATAATTGCATTGTATTGAACTTTAAATAGCTTAACACGACAAGAATAAATAGATGTTGTACATTTAGCAATGAGACTAATACCCACCACAAGTCCAAATGACAAATAATTAAACAACTAAATATACTTCCCCGTATGAAGTTCACCAATGAGCAAAACCCAAAACTTCATGTTATGTTCATTGTCATGTGCCAATATGGCATGTGTCTTTGGAATTTTGGAATAGGTCACTGTTACCATGGAAACAGCATAAATACAAAAATGTCCAAAAAATTCAAAATGCTCCAAACTTGATGAAACTTAACAGAAATGTTAACTGGCATGGGAAATGTTGCTATTTGACTTTGGAATTTTGGAAATGGCTGCCGTTACCATGGAAACATAAAAATAAATCAAAAAAATTCAAAATGCTCCAAACTTGATGAAACTTTATATTAATGTTAACTGGCAAGTGTATATGAGACTTTTGACTTTGGAATTTCCAAAATGGCCGCCGTTGCCATGGAAACAGCATAAATGTGTAAAATTTAAAAAATCTCCAAGTGTTCTGAAACTTTACAGAAAATAGTATAGCCATGCATATATATGCATTCAATGTTTAATTTTTCGAAATGGCTGCAACTTAGTGGCAATGGGGGGAAGGGTGACATCCGCTATTGCTTGCAATGGCAAATCTAGTTCATTTTTTTGTTTTGTTTCCGCAAAATGCAGCCAGAAATATCTTTTTATGACTGGGCATTTCTTCAAGAAAACCCTTGTTTTTTCTTAAGCCAGGATAAAAGATAAAAAAAAAACCAAGAACTACTACAACATACTAAACAACAATGAGAACATAGTCAAAACAATTGCAGGCTATAAACCTAAGTTGTATAGGGTATAATAATAATTGGTTGGAGTTCGAATAATCAAAAAGTTCTTTATTGGTATATAGCTTTCATTGTTCGTCCGTTTACTTGTTAAAGTGCCTTCGATTTGCATCGTTTGTGTGGTGTCATTTGAATTCCGAATTCCAAGTGTTTTACTCACCTTTTTGATGTACACAACTGTCACACTCTTAAACTCCAAAACAGCTACCTGTTTGGAATTTATAACATTGACATGTAAAAATAAGGAGATGTTGTCTGATAATTGCCATGCAATGAGAGAACTATCCACCAGAGACCAAATGACGAAAACGTGAACAACTATAGCGTTCTGTTCGGACATCAACAATAAGCAAAACCCATACCGTGCAGTAAAATAAACTCGAGCTTGACATTTCATATCGAACTAAGCACACAATAAACCTAAATATCAGACGACAGAGCCGATTAAAGAGTGCTCACAGTAACTGAAAATATCCTACTGCTGTTGATTGTCCATTAAATTATTGATTTTTTGCAAGTTTTTTATTTTTCAATACAAGTTGGTTTCATAAAAAAATATTACTTGCTGGGCCATGACGTGTTTGAGACACATGTTACCTTTGTATTAACCAATAAAAAAACTAGCATTTTTTTATGAAGTATTATAATGTCATGAACGTTTCGGACTACTTAATTGATTCGGGAGAAAAGTATACGGCATTATCTGAATAACATTTTTTGGGGTAATTTTCATAGTTATATAAGATCTGTTTTTATTATTATATTTTCCTTATTCCTATTCTCTCTCAAAAACATAAACAAAAGGTGTTTTTTTCGAGACAGAAAAAAAAAGGATTTACATAAAAACCATACTCCATTGCAGGAAGAAAAACACAAAAAGTAAAAAAAACACTCAACACAAAAACTCAAGATTAGACCGAAACCTAAACATAAGCTTGTGTTGAACTCAGGTGCTATAGAAAGGGTAAGCATTTCCTGCTGCACAAGTGGCATCGGTTGTGTAACCTATGTCAGGTAAAAATTCGGTGATAAGTCGCGTTCGACGAGGACAGGAGTACGGGAAATTGGATACGAAAAATGGAAGATATTACTGATCATTAGGACACATATATTCTATAACGGCCAGCCAACTCATAATATCGTCCTCAAAACATTAGTAGATATAACTTCAACTTTACCATTACGAAACCTATATCAAGGAAGCCATGTTATAAACTCAATCCCTGCGATAAACTGTCAGATATATACTTCATATCATGCAGTAGCTGTCATTATGCTGCTACATAAAATTGGAAAGATCACAATTAAAAAATTGAAGTCGTCTATTTTGTTCTAAAGTGTAATTCTCAGTCGACTTCCACTGTAAATTTCTAGATGTAAGTCAAGATATGAAGAAGATCAAAATGTATATGACTTGTGGTATCTGTCAGTGGTAACTTTTATTTCAAGTTCAATGAGATTGATGAAATCATGATAGTCACAAAACTTTGAATTATTCAGTGAGAGGACATCATCTATACAGCGGAATGCGAAGTTAATGATAATTCAAGCGTATTTTCATTCTTTTTAGAAGCCTCTGTCTGACTTCTACGTTTTTGGAATATAGGAACCAGCCGGTTAGAACATAGTTGGTTCCAATACGAATGGTGACTGTCTGTTAACAAAACACGTTAGCGAAACGTAACAAATATGCTGTTTTTATTCCCTACCTGATTAAAACTAACAAAAAATATTGTAACATTACTATATTTTGCATAATCTGGTCCCTCTCTGAGGAGGTGGCAAATGTACCACAGCGTTATCCATGACTCAACAAAACATTTCTAGTCTTGTACATGAAGGAGAAACTATAAACATTCTATGTAATGGTAGATTTTGACTTGAATAAAATGAACAAAATTATCTCATAGAAACAATTTTCCCTTTTCTTCTTCTCAGTTAGCCTTGTCACATGCGCGACGCGAATATATCCATTGTAAATCCTTTCCTTCCTTATTCTATTATGGTAAAAACTAAGTCATGTCTAACTGAGAAAAAGAAAAGGGAAAATTGTTTCAATGAGATAATTTTGTCAGGAAAGATCAAAATAAGAATTTAACAACAACGATTGATAATATGCAGCAAAGACACCTTTGATTTAAAGTCACTTGCCAAAACATTGTGCAAAAAAGTTTCCATTCCCTAAAACAAATGAATTTACTACATACAATGCATACAGCATATTCAGACTTCTTTCTTGCTTCTAAGGGAATGAGGGCCACAAATGCCTCTCCTCTTTTTATGTTCTACCTATGAATTTCCGGCAAGGTCAGGAGTCGGGCCAGTGGTCTACGGCTGCAATTGACATCTATGATTCCTAACGAAGATCATGAATTTATCTTTTCCTTGAAGTTTGGTTCCAATGACATTCAAAGCCGTGTAATGATTTTGCACTATTTTTTATCTAAAATTTTCGATTATTTTTAACACATAGAAAATAAAGGAAAAGGGTAGGCACATGTGAACTGCTCCCAAAGTAAGATTGTTTTATAATAGCAAAAATACATAATATTATTTTTATTAAGAAAATAAATAAGACAGATGAAATATTAGATGAAATATAAAGGGGGTTTATATCCCAAGCCTAGTATACTATTCCCAGCCCAGTCATATCAGTGGATGTTCATGGCTCTCCGTTGTAGTAGAACTTCCAAATCATGCAGCCAAAGTCGTTTTCCAATTAATTGTTTTATGCGTTTTGCCTCCATCGATACAGGTAAAGATAATGGGGGTAAATCAGCAATTTCATTGCATACGCGTGTTTGCATTCCGACACCTCATCCGGGATATTTCCGCGCCACATGACACTGCTGCTGATATTGAACATTTGCGCATGTACAAACGGATGGCCGGATAAATAGAGATTTTTTACTATTCGTCCGACTAGCCGGAACAATAGACACTCCGTTCTTTTAAATACCAGTAGATTTATATGTATTTATGCTCTATAGTTTTAATTGAGTTACATGATATAAGACAAGTCTGTTTGCTTTTCCAATAAACAATGCTCTTTCAATACATTAAATGATCAATAATCGAAAGTCTTGTCGGGTCTCGGGTTTTAAACATTGGATCTCATAAATGCTAGGGTTACACTTGTAAGACACTTGTAATAAACTTGTTACAAACTTGTACATGTAACAACTGTGAATTCTATTGTTTATCTTCTGTATTAGGTTACGATCACGATCAAACGTGACACTTCTTGCAATGATATCACTTTAGTTTATTATGCTTAATTTCTTCCTTTAAATGTGAATCTCAGCTCAGTTGCTAGATAACAACCTGTTTATAATGACGTCTAAAGTAGCCTTAATTTTTAAAATATTATCATTCTATAAATTGATTGCAGGTGTGTCTTTAGTAATATTCTCATGAAGCTATAAAGTAAGTAATTAAGTAAATTGTTTATTTTAGTGACATGTGTAACTCAACAGAAATATATATACATGTATGTACAAAATAACATAACTTTTTAAACATTTTGACTTGGATTGAGAGTTGTCTCATTGGCACTCATACCACATCTTCTTATTTAACATAATCCGACATACAAAATACACCCGGCCCAATGGACCAATAAGTCACCTTTTACTTTCAATTCAATATAAATGTTTCAATATCACGTGTTATTGTCAATTCAAATTCAAGAGAAAGATAATCATAATTTAAAAAAATAGCCGTTGTAAAAGTTCAGAGTTGGTTCTTCTAAAGTTCATGAAAAAGTTTAAGAATGTTAACTAGAGTAAACTGTTTGTTTTCTACGGAAGTGACACTGCTAAGTATTTATCTATTTTCCTTGGATGGTCCATCATTAGAAATGTTAATTTTCCCTGGTTTTATAGCTAATATCTCGCTAAAATAGTTTGTCTGATATTATAAAATGTACAGTTTATAAGAAAATGTAGTTCATTTTCAACATTCTGTGAACTACAAATTCGAATCAGTCTATTCTCTACTGGTTCTATATTATACTATATTAAACGAAACGGAGTACATTGTTTTAATAATTTATCTATATATAACAAGAAGCTTTACGTTTTTTTTTAAATTGTCATGGAATATATGTTTGTGGCTTTTGTACAAGCATGACCGAGTCTTTGACTTGATTGTGTAAGCGCGTCCAGTGTCATTGATGTAGTGGCTGAACTTAAGTGGGTAAGCATCTTTAGCTGTAACGAAAAAGAAATATAGATAACTAATTCTTTTGTTATTAAGAACATGCACTAATTCATATACATCAAATGCACTGCACTGATAGTGAAGACATTCCAACCTTACATTTATAATGGTAAGTTCTCGTGAACTCGAATAACTACTGCTTGTTTTTGTTTGAAATTCACTGATCCTGGTGAAAGGCATCTTCAAAAATTAAAAGAAAGTTTCTCTCAAAAAAGCACTCCAACACAATAGGTCACAAAGATACTTGACGCAGTGACTCAGTCTACATGACTTTTATTGTACCATTATTATCAATTGTTTATTCACGCCATATTATCGGTTATCGGTACTGCAGATGCAACAGGTAATAAAGATCAAAATCTCCTGCACAGGATTGCAAAATCCATTGTATATCAATGGCAATCGGCATGATAGACCTGCTGTACACGATAACAAAAACAACTGTGTTTAACACAGATCTGCCGTAATAATAGCCGGTAATAGGGTGTGTTGAAGGCTTTTATAAGTGAGCAGGGATGACATTCGTATTTCATTAAATCCTTTTATTATTTATGAAGCAAATTTCTCAACATTTGCCGTATATTTCCAGATTTTCTGTTTAAAGTTATTTAAGCTGCAAGCTGGCATGTCATTGTTTTACTGATAAAAAACATCGTTAGTGAACAGTTAATGAAACAAGAAAAAATGTTCATCACTTTTGTTCGAAAAGCTTTTCCGGATTTCTCTTCAGCAAGGATCGCTCAAACCCCCAAAAATTGACAGATTACAGATAATATGCTGAATAAATGTTTCATTAATGAAAGTCAGTATTCAGTGGTTGCTGTTGGTTCATGTCTGTTATTTCTTTATGAAAATGAATATCATGAAGATCTAAAGAAAGTTGCAAAAGAACAAAATGAGAATAGTTGGGATCTGCTTTATAACAAGATTGGGAACTTATGCTAACATCATATTGACCTGTAGATGTCTATTGCTTTTTGGGTTTTGTTGTTGTCTGCATGTAATTGATGTATACCCCAGACTAGTGTCCTTTATCATATTTATGATAATCTCTATAAGTAAGGGATGACTGTCTAGATGGTGGAACTTTGATAGTCTCTGTTGATGGCAGATAGTTGCTGGTCTTCACAACTTTTCACGGTTTGGGGGAGATTTAATGACATAATTATGTTTAAGAAACTTGTCGATTATTTAGGGTCCTATTTTGCTGATTGTGAATTGATTTACTGACGTTATTACATTGTTGTATCATTGACGTAGACTTAAAACTTGATCTTATTTATATTGATTTCAGTACAGAACAGTCATACAAAACCTCAAGTCTAGTCTTTCCATCTACTGTATGTACTAGTTGCTGTTCGTCTTGTGATAGGTTCATTATATAACATGTAATTCCATGTTGGTAAATATTTACCATGCCAAGCATATGCTAAAATTGATTTAAAGTATTTCCATTATCATTTTGACAAGATCGTCTTCATATTCTCGACACTGAGTAATTCATACAGTAAAACTTGATGTAGTCCAAAAGGCGATATATTTGAATTATTAATGATCAGGACATTTTTTTTAACAGCATGCATCAACCCAATTAATATTTTAATCTATATATAAATAGTTTGGCAGTTGTTCTAAAAGTATTAATTCTTTCGCTGAAAAGAGGGTTTAGTAATTCAACATCCGATTTGACAAATGCAACTACTGTAAAAGCATGAAATGAAATTAGAAAAAAGTAAGTACTGATATTAGATTGGCGTCAAAAACCTCAAATTATGAATTTTAACATTAAGTTGATTTTGTTTTGCATTCAGAAAGATACCCGTCATTTAAGATAAGAGCGAGCACATTTATTTTGTGTCAAATAGCAAAATAAATTATCCTAAAATACTTACACTCTGACTATCATAATAAAATCTATAGTTGTCCATTTCATTTTGATGTGGTTTTTTTGTTGTTGTCATTCCAAAACTGGCCTACAAAAAAATCAATCGAAAAAATGATAAATTCATTGTAAACCTTTGGATTTTTTATCCTATGAGTTACAAATTAGAAAATCCTGCACAAAATTTATTGTTCGACAAACTGCGCTCATTGAAATCCATTAATCACTGTTTCACTATGACATAATAATACACCAAAAGTTCTCGTGAGAAGTGCACATTCTTAATCCAGACTTTATAAGGAAAATAGTGCTCTAATTCGATATTCTAATCGATGTTGCAGGGTTTTCTCTTTTACCGTTACTTTATATAATTATCCATAGATTATATGCTTACCTTTTGAAACTCTTAAATTTTAATCATTTTCAAGAATTGCTTCACAAAAGCTTACGTTAATAGGTATATTGTTAAAACGTTAAAGAAAACTAATTTTCACCTTGGAAAGCAATTTGCTGGGTATTAATTCATTGCCTGAAACACAGTTAAATTCAGAATGCTATACAAACAATTTTACTGCATCAAATGCGCATTTAGACAAATAATGAGTCTTCGGTGATGCTCGAGTCCTAAAATTTGGGAAAACAAACGCTACAGGCGTGATATGGTACTTTCTTCCGATGGTCTGAACATTTTTAATTTCTTGTTGAGCTCTCCCAAATACTGTCAATTTCTGTTGAATTTACTAGGAGACTCCACGAAACCTGTTAGGAGTTTTATTTCGGATTGATTATTTTTGTATTTTCTTGAGCCGCATTATTCAACCAACAACCTGTGGCTACCTGAGATAGATTCATGTAGAAGCGATCAGATTTTGACCCGGCTTTCCAAATTATGTACCGTCTTTTATTTCCTTGTTCACCCTAATGGTATCTGGACTATGTATGTTCTTTATTGCATGTTTCACTTTCAATGTTATTGGCCTTAAGTGCCTAAATCGCAGACAAAATCAAATGCGGGCAAAAATGAAACATTCTAACATGACGTTCTTCAAACGCTTTGAGTACACACCCGTGGTAAAATATGAATATATTGTTTGGGCTGTTCCGATCGTACTCCCGCGTCATATGCTTTTTTATGAATGAGCTACCCGACGTCATAGAACGATGACGTAAGAATATAAGCATTTTACGGGAAAATACACGCTTGTGAAACCGAAAATCATCACAACAAGGAAACGTAAACAAACGATGCTAAAATGTGTTATATCATTTTTTGTTTCCATATAAGATATATAAATACAATTATCATTTAGATTCATTCAAACCTATCTAAATATGTCATTGTAAATAGTTTAAGCATGCCATTTATTCAGTTTGCTCCGTTCTTTTACGTCAATTTAATAGTGCGTTTATTTATGGGAACGACAAATAATGCCTTCACCTAGAGCGCTTCGATCCAAAAGAATTGCCGTATTTGTCCTATTAGAATCGAAATAATTCATGGGGGCTTGAATATATCGTGATTTTACCACGGGTTGTCCCTTTATGCCGATATTTTACCCCTCGCTATCGCTCAGGGTAAAATATTTGTCATAAAGGGCCAACCCGTGGTAAAATCACGATATATTCAAGCCCCCATGAATTATTTCTTAAATAGAATGCTCTTTTCACTCCTCGCTAGCAAAGCTCGTCCTGTTGTTAACGAATTGTATACTGATGGCAGCTGACATTTAGTTATTAAGTTGTTCACTTAGGTTATTTCAGTATTATTTCTTTTATTTTCTGCTATCAAAACTTTTATATTTATCATTCATTTGGTAGATTGATAGCTTGTCACTTAAAGAGGAATGCCTACAATTATTGACATAAGACAAATGCTGGAAAGTAATTTTATAGATAAAAAAGCATTTTCAATACGAATAAATGTTTCATCTTAACTTATCATATGAAAATTAAAAATGGTTTTACCTCAAACAGAACAAATACAAGCAATAATGCACTCAACAAATTTCTTAACATGTTGAAAGGACGTCGTCTATTGAAAATGTGACAAGTGAATTCAAACATGTGTTCAATATATTATAAAGCTGAAATCTATAAGATAACACAATTCATGTAGGGGAATGTATGTCAACTCCGAATTCAAACTTTTGGAAACCATCTTTATTCACATTGTTGGGTACATTTTTCTAGATGGCGAATATTAAGGATCACTGAATATTTTGTTATTGTTGGTTCCGTCTTTTTTCATAGAATGCAAAAATAAGACTAGAATTAACTTTTAAGATGAATTATTTGACCTATCGAAGAAACAGTCAATTTATTATCTCTTTTTGCCGGATACATGTAAATAAATCTGTTGGCGGTTTTTTTATGATGTAAGGAGAATACTTATAGAAAAATCCTGTTTTGAAATGTCAATATAATTCATTTGATTACATCGGTTGGAATGAAATACTGTGATTTTCCAGTTGAACAAAAACCGATAATTTCACACCTCTGATATCATACAACAATGCATCAAAACGAATTCAAAATGCGTAGAAAAGAAATATTTCTTTGTATTTTATTCTGTATTTCCATTAAAAACCCCATAGTCAATTTAAGAAAAAGAATAACTAATCGAAGAATTCAAATATTGAAAAATATTCAACTCGTGACCGAACAACACTGATAATTAACTTGTGCGCTACGCGCATTCATGAATTGATGTACGGTGGAAACATGCGGCCATGAAAGTAAAAAATATATGTTGTTCCCTCATATTTTACTAGATTTGGATTCTTCGATTAGTTATTCTATAATTATTAATAAAAAACATGTATGGCAAATTATTATTAGTCCCGATCTATGATATCAAGGATATTTTCATCTTGTGTAATCTCGTAGATAAAAATGACAGTTTTTATTCCCCTGCCTTTTGTTTACTTTCTGAACATAATATATTAATTTACATGTAATTTTTACTTATCCGCTTGCTTTTATAACCAAACAAGACATAAACAGTGATAAACTGTACAGATAAAAAAAAAATATTATTTATTCTATGACAACTATTTTCTGTTTTTCAGTTTTGTTTTTACGTCTGAAATAATTTCGCACACGATAATGACTATACTATCGCTATCACATAAATCTTTAATATTCCCCACGAATCATCTTTTTATTGCATATACAGTTAATCATTGATGAAAAAATTTAAATCTGAAATCATAAAAGTACAGCACTTGTACATTATAAGATATCTTATGGAAAATACGCGGCAGTACATAGGGGATTATTGCATAATTACACCCTGCTCTATTTAAAATGTGGGAGTTGAGGCTGGCATTTGTCATTTTTTTTAAATTTGTAAACGTCCCTTGTAAAGCTAGACACTATATACTGGCTATTACAATCGAATAAAAAACAAAACATTTATTTTTCACTGCAATTAACTTTACTTGTTAAAAAATTTCAGCTCTCCCCAACACAGACACACTTAAATAATATTCTGCATCATATGTAAATTGCACCTACATAGAATAATACATAACTTATTATGACAATGTTAGTAGACTTGACCCAAGGAAAGTTAGTATACTGGCTTATCTAAGATAGGAAGATAGGACTTACGTAGAGGGAACAGTTCTCATGACTTCACGTTTTCACTCATATATAACGTTATCTATTCCTTGATATCGGTCTAGTTCTATAGTTTTCAACATGAAGTTCTTGGCTTGTATAATCGCTTTTGGTTTTGCAGCTTTTGTAAGTACTAAATGATTTTAATAATCACCAATATGAGAGAACCATGCGCTATATTTCATTTAATTAATCCTGGAATCTATAAATCTATGTCAATATGTTAAATCAAAGTCATACGATGCAGTTTTGGAAAAGAAGGAATATATGTACACGCGACAATTATCCCTTAAAATACATAACACATAAAAAAACAGCACTATCGTTACTCTTAATAATCTTAAATGCTTGAAATTCTTCCACGAACTTAACATTCCACGCCTTTCAACAATGTTAAGACAGTCCCTAGCGTCGGCTCTTGCAGATATCATTGAAGGTATATATTTGGGAGTAATCGATATATTCAACACTAGAAAAGTAGTTCACCGTAATAAACCATACGTATTTCACCAAAGTTTACAATCACAGGATATTCTCAAGATCATAGTAGGCAAACCAACATAAATTGAGATCTATTTTGTTTTTTGCAAAGTTGGCGCATGTTAAAAGTGTGAGTGCAAGTAGAAGTACATGTAGTATTTGGTAGTACATGTAACACCTTTTGTTGTCGTTGGTGTTATAGTAGTAGTAGCCATGTCAGTATTAGTATTATATTGAAATTGTCTTTATAGTCAGTTACAGCTGCAATGACTACAATGATGACCCATACACACCACTCAACACGTGAACCATATGAAAAAGACAGTCTAGCTTTCTACTTCGATGATTCATCGGTAAGATATCAATCATTGTGTATAAATTTTGTAATTTGAAAACTGTGTCTTGTCATAATAATTGGAATACTAATAAAGTCCTTTTTCCAATCTACCTTGAATTAAATGTGTTATACCTCTTTGCATATGCGTAACTTTACTCCAGATCCCCAAGGGTGACTGGGGAATAGAAAAATGGTTACTCTTAGTCTTCTTTCGACCTGCAGTAAAACCCTTGCCAAAGTGGGGCGTGCGTTTGGCTGTGCGGGATGTACAAGTACACAGTCTTGTCCGGTCAGAATGGAACGTTATCGCCTATGCCTCGTATAGAGAGAGTGTCAAGCTCTTTGCACGTTAAGAACCCTTACGACAACTCTTTGAGGGGTCCGTATGTGGACCGTTGCAAGGCAAAATTTTTGTCCCTATCCAATATACAGTGTACCCTCATATTCCAGTGGCAGTCCAAATTTCCCCGGCCTTCATCCCGGTCGGCCTATATAACAGGACCTAACTATTGTGTTCATTGTTAATTGGTTCTCGTCTTGAAGCAACCAACAATCAATTAATCAACCATTACTCCAGTAAATGTCTAGTTTTTTTGTATAAATGATATCCTAACTTAATAATATTGTCTATTAAGAATGTTTGTTGCAACGATGATAATTCCAGTATCTCATATCGTAGTCTCAAGTATGCATATATCAAGTAAGGCAGTTTCAATTCAAACAAACTCATTGGAATGTGTTTTGATATAGTTTTACTTAGCTTTATATACTTGTTCTGAAATACAAAGTAGTATATATATATATATATACATGTACACATTTTTCAATTATTATTTCATGATTATAATTTATGTTTACAGAACTATTTGATACTTAAAACAAAGGGTTACTGCTACTTCATGGCTTTGACTTTTGCTGAACAACACATGGTACACAATCCTGATGGTATGAGGAGAATAGAGGTATTTTTACAGAGGATGACCTTCAGGTCATTCCGATGTATTGCTATCGCCTAAATTTCCATTATGCAAATTAGTTTTGGGATTTCAACCGATCTATAAAAATTATAGATCCGCGGTCATTACAAGGGAAAAAAGTGCATTTTTATACCTGCGATTCCGTTTTCCGTTCGTACGATGTTTTATCAAAAAATGGAATCATTTCAGTTGTTGATTTAGTACTGAAAATTTGACTGAATTATCTCCTTTTAAATACGGTTTTATATGTTTAATTGGTGTTTAAGAAAGAGGTCAGGTGCTCATGTTCATTCATAAAATTATCGTTCATTCATTCATGAATTTATCGTAAAATCAAAATCACTACACAGGTCACACAGGTTGTATACGTAATGTCAAATAATTACCTGTAATCTAAAAATAAACAAACTTAACTGACTCCCCTTACTATAGTGTGTGATAACATTTTGTGAGGAAATTCGATGTTTGCTATACCACTGTTCATTTCAACGCACTTTATGACGATACCACTTTATCAATATGAATGAAATTTTTTGCAGTGTTTTAAGAGATAATTTTACTTTAAAATCGCGTATCATTTGTGAACTATTAAATGTTTTACAAGGACGAATTTTCTGTATAAAGTCAATAATTGTGTGAACTTTTGAAGCCCAAACTTTTTATAGCCTTAAATACGCTAATGAAAGATCCGAAAACCATACCCATACAGAACGACATGTTTTTGAAATTGTAGCAAAACTTTTGGTTGACAAATTTGAATTCGTTATTGCATAAATATTAACTTGAAATATCTGTCATTTTCTCCCTACCAAGTTTACCCCTATTACTCATTATGATGTGGACTGGACATTGTTATTGAATCTTATGCAATTTGATTGGATTAAGATATTATTAGATTACCTTCAAACTGTTCATGCTTTTTCGTACGAGTATATCGATTAAATCAGAGCGTGCATGAATGTGTACAGTAAATTAAATGACCTGCAAACTGGACACTGGACCAGTCCATATTACGTTTTATCAATGAATAGATTTTTTTTTTTTATTTTCCAAATTACAGGGCCCATAAAGGGCATAAAATCAGATACAATTGATTTACATAATTGGTAACAACAACAATAATAGCGGCATATGAATGAAACTTAAGGTATGAAAGGTAACAATTGCCACTTTTTATCTTTTCACATAATTTTCCACATACACATTAGATAAATTATTTTTGATAGCCTATTGCGGAGAAAAAAGAGAAAGTTTACTGTATTAACGTTCTATTCCATTAAATACGCCATTTTTCGCAGAAAAACATTTTATGCACGGCTACGCCAGGTAAAATTGTTGTTTATCCTAACAAAAAAATACAATTTTCAGTTTCATTAGAATATTATAATAATAATAAATCCCAAATTTATGTAGTCATTAGATAAAGTCCTTATATGTCCGATCTGCCTATTTTTGGACATCAAAAGACAATACGATCGTTTTAAGGTCAATTTCGTCTACCTCACACAATCTTGTTAGGCACTATAATGAAATGGACCTGAAATTTATTTCACATGTTTCCTGAAAATTGATAAATATCAAAGCAACATAGAGCTGTTTGTTCTAGTTCGTATAATAACAATTTAATGTCATGTTTGTTTGTGATGACCCCCCCCTTTTCGGGATTGCATCAGAATTATAGTTATCTCGTATCGCATGAGGATGACACATATCAACTGAGCAATTATGTTTGGGACTTAGTTTTAAGAAATGATGTCAAAGTAACATTATGAAAATTTTTTAGTAAGCTGAAATATATTTTTATTTTTTACATGTTTATGTCTTGTAAGATATTTTATTTCTTGCCCGTTTTTCAACATTTGCGTCTGGAAAGTTGAAATGTTTTAACTGAATGGTTAATTTAAATTAATTATGAAAATTGTTAAAATTAAATCAATAAAGGAAATTATTGCCCAGTTACAAACATTACCAGGGGACAATCCATATTGATTTTTTTTTTAGTTATATGTTTCAGCACATGTATAATTAACCCCAACTTTAGCCTGGTAAACTTGTTGTCTCCTTGTGAAATATAAAACATATTTAAAATGATTTCCTGCTAAAGTCTTTTATTGATATAAAGTTAAAACCGTCTTGCTTCTCACTAGTCAACACTCCTGTCCTGTCAGGTTTAATTCTTATATATATGGATAAAAAATAAAAGTCCACAAAGCATTTACATGGCAGCAATTGCTTTTAAGCCTTTAAGGCTTTGATTTTTTTTACAGAAGAGTGTCCACCATGCACTTGCACTGCACTATAATAATAGTAGAATAGAATGATATACAAATAGATGAAAATTATATATACATGCAACCGTAATATTAATATAATATATAACAACAAACCAGTGTATTCTCTGGAACTATTATTATATTAGTATTAAATAGTCTAAGGTATACTGATTTGTATCACTACAATATAATAGTTATTACGGTGAGGTTGAGTTTCCTGTCATTTATTCATCATCCAAGCAGGAACTTGTATCAGAAAAAAAAAATCTCTGTAAATTAACCTCAGTTTCAGGTATAGAGATGTGATCTGTTTCTGTGACATGTGCTTTTGACCATACACAAGAACCTGCGGTCATCCGATGTTCAGTACTTCAGTACTTTGATTAAATCTATCTTCTTTGATTCTTCACAAGTTGACAACATGCTGACTGATATAGAACTGAATGATGTTTTATCTGTTAAATAGATGATGACGACGATGACGTTGACATTGACGATGATGATGGTTTTACATCAAGTAGCAAATACAAAAAAAATATCAGGACGAGAACATTGAATAATATCCTTGCTTTGTACCAGACCGACATGCTTAGTCGGATTTTTTAACGTGGGACACAGTATTCTGACTCCTATCCGACAAGTCTTTGTTCTCACTTCTAAAGGGCTTAACGGAGAAGTAGCATATACCAATTTTCAAGTCTTTGGTTTTCACCCGGCCGTGGAACCTACTCCATGACGGACGATGTATAAAGGTTTGTGACCCTGCACTCTAAGCGAGCACACTACCACGAGACCATGTGGTTCCGTTAAGTTATGATCTATCAGCATATCTATGAATATATGTATTCATAAAAAACTTTAACAATAGAGATACGTAAATTCCAATTTCTCCGTTATGTAACGCATTATAAAAATAAAGAGCTGCGCCATTAGCACATGATACGCCCGTCGCTTTTTCAAAGAATAAAGTTCCATAACTCCTCAATATCAAATCAGAAATTTATAAAAAAAAAAACTAAAGGGAGAATATCTTAAGAGATATAAACCAGTCATCAAAGTTTCATGAAAACTGCTCAAAGAACTTTTGAGTTATTGTTCGAAAACTGGAAAATTCCCCCTTTTTATTGAATGAAACCCCATAACTCAGAAACGTAAAATCTAAAATTTATAAATTTATAATTTATAATAGGGAGCTCACGTCAATAGATATAAACAATTCACCAAAGTTTCATGCAAATTGGTTAAAGTGTTTTTGAGTTATTGTCCGACATGTTGACGACGGACGGACGGACAACGGTATACCATTATACGTCCCGTAAACGGGCGTATAATAAGATGTGGGATGATTTCCTATGAGACCTTGGGTTAGGTTATCAATATATTCAAATTATATAGATTGATAAATGAATGATACAACATAAGTGCTTTAAATACATTTTTTTTCTATCGCAAATATAAAATGAATGTTAATTCGTGCACATTCTTTAAGTTTATTTCTGCTTTTGTGTATTTTTTAAGTATTTTTGCAAAATGGCATTGCTACAAATATTGAAACTTATTCACCTAATGGTCTGATAACGTATTTGTATTTTTATTCCTAAGCTGAGATAAATACTTGGCTATATATTTTTAAGAGAAACACTTAAACAAATATAATATTTTATTAACTATGTTAATGTTGTTTTTTTTTCCAGACTCAGATGTTCCATTTTATGACGTCTGCTACTCACACAGCAATGACAGGAGGTGATCATGCCCATGTTTCACACTATGTCTACAATAGGCACTGCGCTAAGGAACATATGATTAAACTTGTACAATAAACACAATATTTGCACTTTTACACCTTTAAATTGTTGTGTAAAAATGCTGTTATCTTGGTATAAAGGGATTATTCACATGTACTTGTGGACAGGATACCCTTTGGGTGCCCCTGAGTAGGAGAACCCTGAATGACCTCCCATGCAGTTTAATTAGGTCTTTCCACTTTTCCGTGGAAAGACCTTCTGATTTTGTTCTGATTATTTTTTTTCTTCCGCCAAATTTTTTTGCTTCGCAAGATGTCGCTTAGATATTTGATATATGATATCGAACAGTTTATACGCTTTTAAAACTGACATCTGATACAAAAATTTAATAACACTTTTAGATATTTGGATGATATATTGGCTCTCAATAATGACGACTTCAGTATGTACACTAAAGAGATTTATCATAAAGCTAATACTAACAATGAACACTGCCTTTTCCTGGATCTTGATATCTATGATATCTTTAACGGGAAGCTTAATTACAAAATTTACGATAAAAGAGATGATTTATCATTTTCTATTGTTAATTATCCATTTTTAGATGGTGACGTTCCCTTGTCAACATCTTATGGTGTTTATATATCTCAACTTGTTCGATTCGCTCGTGTATGTAACAAAGGTTTTGATTTTAACGAAAGAAATCTCGGTATTACTGAAAAATTATTACACCAGGGTTTTCGATATCACAAACTAGTCAAAACATTTACTAAATTTTATCATCGGTACAAGGACATCATTCGTAAATATAAATCAACATGCAGACATCTTATACGTTCAGGTATTTCACATCTAATATTTTACGGTAATATTCTATACAAAGCACAACAATGTCGTCATTCACCTCAAAAGCTAACCAAACCTTTAAACAGACTTATTCAGAAGGGATATAGTTACGATACTGTTGTCAGGTCATTAAACATGGCATATTTTGGAATTAATATTGATTCACTCATAGGGTCTTTGCATCGGAAATAAACACATTTATTCTAAAACCAATTGTTGGCATGATACGGGTTATGTTCTTCTCATATATTTTATGATGGTATGATACTAAACCCCTAACGGGAGGGATTGTGCTTGATTTTCATATGATGAAGACATAATCTTTCAATCAGTTTAATTGATGTCTGGAGCTGGCATGTCATTAACTGCTAGTAGTCCTTTGTTAATTTATATATCATTGTCATTTTGCTTAGTTTCTTCTGTTACCTATTCTGACATCGGACTCGGACTTCTTTTAAACTGAGTTTAACTGCGTATTGCTGTGTGTTTGTTTATTCGACATTGGCTAGAGGTATAGGGGAGGGTTGAGATCTCACTAAACATGTTTAACTCCGCCGCATTTTTGCGCCTGTCCAAAGCCAGGAGCCTCTGGCCTTTGTTAGTCTTGTATGTTTTTTAAATTTTAGTTCATTTATATGTTTGGGAGTTTAGTGTGACGTCCATTTTCACTGAACTAGTACACATTTGTGTTTAGGGGCCAGCTGAAGCCCGCCTTCGGGTGCGGGATTTTCTCGCTGTGTTGAAGACCCATTGGTGGCCTTGGGCTGTTTTTTGCTCTTTGGTCGGGTTGTTGTCTCTTTGACACATTCCCCATTTCCATTCTCAATTTTATTTATCTGTGAGTATATAAATCATCCAACACAAAATGTCTTAATGAAATTATTTCAAATGCATAATACGTTTAAAACGTACGCATATAAGTTATAATACGTCCTTTCTTTGAATTCTTTATCTAAAGAAAATATAACCAAACGATAAATCACGAGGAAAATAGTCATTTTACAATTTTAGATATGACAATCACCAATTTTGATGTTGAAGACGTCGTATTTTTTGTTATTTGTTATCATACATCAGCTTTAGTTTGATGTAGTTTTGCCCCCATAATCTAGATTAAAATCGACCGTTATGCTTTCGAAGAATGCTTGGTTTGAAGTTAACTGTGGAATACAGAGCATCAAAATGAAAAAAAAACACACATATTTGAGCAAAAGAACAGATCAGCACATCTGTAACTGGAATCAAACATTTAAGGATGTCGTCTCTTGTAATTCTGCAGGAGACGACATCCTTAATTTTTTATACAAATGTTTGATTCCAGTTACAGATATGCTGATGTGTTCTTTTGCTCAACTGACCAGGCTGAAGCTACAACTGTGTGGTTTTTGTTTTTACATTTTGTAATTCGACTTTTGTATTTGAAGTTAATTACAGTTCATATCTATTTGAAACTAATATTACATTGGTAGAGCTCTAATCAATCGGTTGATTAAGTTAAAAGAGATTTCAAAACATAGTGAAGATCTTTGTGCCAACTCTTCACAATGGATACACACAATAATAGCATAATTAAACAAGAAGGCGAAAACTTATTCATCGTAATAAAATTTAAATCAATCAAGATTACAAATCATAAATATAAGATACCAAAATAGTTTAGAACTATGATCATATGGCAGCAATCCTTTTGCGCAAATTGTTATTTTTCAGATTTATCATTTGCGCTAAATATTATTTTTTAAAGGTATCAATTGCGCCAATATTCGGAATTCATTTGTGCCAATTAACCTGTACACATATTTATCATACATGCCAATCATAAATAATGTTAGGTGGCTTAAAAAGTATAATTTATGAAATCATTGGGCTATTGATGCTAGACAAAACGAAAGGTGTGTATACACTCGCATAAAACTTGAATAAATATTATGTCGATTCACACTTACTAAAAGTATGTACATAAACCAAACGGTAAAAAAATACAATAAACTGTTTTATTCGTCACATGCATTCCTGTTTTCATTCTTTTGACAATATTGTGTAATTACAAGCAACTGCATATATTAAATCGCGCAGTACCCATGTAGCAGCAGTTAGATGCAGGCATATATCAGAAAAGGAAATGTTGTGGTTGAAAGAATCAGAACTATTCATGAGGAGAACTAAGCCGAAGAGATTATGTTTGTGTCATGAATTACAAATTTCAGAGTTTAATATTTTATACTTATTGACTGGGTATGAGTGGAATAGTAAGTTTATTGTCCCCGAGGTGAAACTATTGCCCTGAGGCGTAGCCGACATGGACAACAAACTTACTATTCTACGAATATCCAGTCAGTAAGTTTTTTATTATACCGAAAGAGACAACAGACAATAAATGTCGGGGCTAAATCAACTATCGTAATATAAAAAGCAGAAACACAACCATACGGTTTAACGTTTACTTCATATCTATACTACTAAAATAACGAGGTCCAAATTGTTAGCCAGCATGACGTTAAAACGACGAATCAAAGAATTCAACTTTATATATAACTCATATAGGACAGTTATGTTGATTAAAAATTACACCATTCCAGGCTCTTTTGTTTTCCACATAATTAATATTATCAAAAATTAACAAGTTCCGGGTCGAATCCGATACCGATACCAATAGTACCTGTTACCTGTTACCTTATCTGTACGTTCCGCCTCTGTCAGGCGCACCACCAAACGGTGTATTTGGGATTTGCTATATACACGGGTCATAATCAAACCTGAACTTCGTCATTATACAGGGATTGATACTACTAAATTCAATCATTGACCAAAAAAAATATATCTACAAGGCTTAAAAAGTACATGCGATGTCGCGGGTGTGTTCTAGTATATTCTGAATGCTAAGGCTACGTCCTGCACTGACGTCAACCCTAGATACAATAGGTAAAACGCGACGTCGCAACTACCGCGGTATTCTCAATATCCTCCAATCCCGTAGCTGCATTTGAAATTCCGCGAAATATAATGAAGCTTGCGGTCAAATAGTTTCATCGAGGTCCAATAGTTGGAAACTATTGACCGGTCAAATAGATCAACGCTTGCAATTTAAAAAATAGTCAAAATATTGTGTATAGATATAGGAAGATGTGGTATGAGTGCCAATGAGACAACTCTCCATCCGAGTTACAATTTATAAAAGTAAACCTTTATAGGTCAAGGTACGGCCTTCAACACGGAGCATTGGCTCACACCGAACAGCAAGCTATAAAGAGCCCCAAAAAATTACTAATGTAAAACCATTTAAACGGAAAAGTACTTATTTTATATAGAAAATGATAACTGAGATATAATGAAATAATGTTTTAAGACTGTAAATTGTTTTATGTTTTTAAATGACTTAAAATGACCGCCGGTTCCAAGCCCGGATAAAAGAGCAGGGAAGACATTTTTCGTTAAATTGGCGCAATCCTATACTTTATTTTTGGCGCAAATGATACTATGCATTTTGAAATTTAGTGGCACAGACGTAACATTGGCGAAAATGAGTTGTTGCGCAAAGGGCGCTTTTTGGCGCAAACGGATTTCTCCTAATCATATGCAATAGAAGAAAAATTTTCGAGCGGTCAATATGACAGATCCTTTTGTTTTAAACAACATTTTATGTCACATATTGAAGACAAACACATAGGGAACGATTGTTCCTTTCCTTTTTTTGTTTGTGTCACAGTTAAAACAAACAATCTCAGCAACGGCCTCCAAATGAGCATATTCTTAACAAATGATGCGGATGTCTTTTTTGTTCTTAAACTTAGTGTGTTGCACTTTCTTAAGATAATTAACGTATTTGATATATCCCGCAAAACCTCGAATGTCCTATTTGGGGAGTTGTTCCTATCAGTTAATTTCATAGGCCTCTAGTTTCTTTTTAGTGGCGGGGGTGGGGTAAAATAAATACGTCTGTCTGTCGGTTCGCTTAAGTTTGAATAATACATTGTCCCCAAAATATCCCAAGCCAAGAACGTTTTATATAGCTAAAATATGTATTGTGTAAATATCTTTCTTGCTGCAGAGAATTCACTTCTACGATTAAATGAAAATTACAGAATATACATAATTATTATCATAACGGATGTCCATAGACTTTAATGGACAAAAACAGTTGTTTACTAGTATTTAATTTCCAAAGTTTCTTAACATTCTTCAGTTATGATAAAAAGTTCATTCCTTCTAAAGGTGTTTTTTTTTAAATTGTATAGGAATGGCAGGCAACAACAGAACACGTACACTTGCTTTAATGAGCAGCGAATTAGTTCCGACCCAATTTAAAAATTATTACGTCAATACAAGAACCACGCACACAACACGACTATTGGATATTGAGGTCATTATATACTAAAGAATCTTTTGTCACGAATTTCTATTTTAGGAAATAAGATAATTTGCCTTATGCTGTTCGAGTACATTCTAAAATGTGAATATTCAGGACATAAAACTATGCACTATAAGGATAAGATAATTTCCTACGTTTCACATATTTTCATTTGCTTTTTAACTGCAAATAGCGCTAGAAACATCTGTTTTTCTCAGCAAAAAAGATAAATAAAGATAGTTCATCTGTATTTCAATAATCCCCACTTGGTGGTTTATTAATTAGTTCCTTTGTATTCAAAAGAGAAAAAAATGATAACAACACTTTATAAACGAAGCGCTATTCTGGATATACCTTAATCAGGAACGATCAAAAGCTAATATTTGAAAGCGAATGATGTATAAAAATCGCAACAGCTGAAGAGCTATATCAACAATAAGGACATAAAAATATTAGCCAAATCCATCTAAGGTAAAATTGGCCTGAGGGAGTTGAAACCTTAGTTTTTTCATACTTTCTAAATTTATAAACGGGCAATTTAAGAAAGATTCGTTACTGACTACAGATGATACATTTGGGGACTTATAGTCTACCAGTAGTGGTATCGACCCAGTGCTGTAAAAAAGGATAAAAACACTTTATAAAGTTCATCCGTCCGTATCGCTTTTCTAGATTTACCTTCATCAGGAACGCGCAAAGTCGAATATTTAAAAGCCAAGAATGTAAAAGACCAGAAACAGCTGAAGAGCTGTATGAGTATGAAGGACCTAAAGATAATAGCCAAATCCATCTAAGGTAAACTTTGCCTGAGGGAGTTGAAACCTTTGTTTTATACAGAATTTCTAAATTTGTAAACGGACAATTTGAGAAAGGTTTGTTATAAATCATGTTAGCACCGAATTGCTGACTACTGAGCTGATGATACCCTCGGGGACTGATAGTCCACCAGCAGCAGTATCGGCCCAGTGCTGTAAAAAAATGAAAACAACACTTTATAAATTTGTCCCACCACAAAAGTCTTGTTACTTTTATAGAATATAAAATGAAATGTTTTAAATGTTCAAGTAACGTTTATTTTCAGAAAGCTTCTTAATCTTTTTTTCCAGTTGTAATACTTGAATATAATGAAGACAAAACAATTTTGTGTTTATTTACAATCTTTGTGGAATGACTGTGATGTGACCACCGGGGACAATAGTCCAGTACATGGTATCGACTCACTTGTTGTAAATCAAAGTAATACGTTGCTAATTTTATCGGCTGTGCATAAAGTGTTTTCTGGATATCATTCAGTCACAATTTGTCTGAGGCCAAAGTTGAAACCTTAAAAAGGTAACAGAAAAAGATAGACGGTTTCCGTGCGCATAGGAAGTGTTTCTTGAAAATCTAACTAATTTCGATAGAGACAAACGCATTTAAACCGTCGGGACCTATAAGGGAACAGCCAGCAAAAATTTACCAACGAGACAACTTCACCAGAGACCAAAGGACGAGTATGTAAAAACTATAGGTCATTAAACGGCCTGTAACAAAACTTTAAATGACCCGTCATGATAAAATTGTCAAACAATTCAAGAGAAAACAAACAGCCTGATATCAATTAAAATTAATAAACGAAAAACAGATATGTCTGACATCAACCAACAACAACCACCGAATTACAGATTTCTTGCATTGGACAGATACATAAAGAATGTTGCAAGGTTAAACATGTTTGCGAGCGCTTAACTTTCTTCAAACACGCACGCAATATCCTGTAATTAAGTTGCGATATTCAAGGAGACCAGTAAAATAATTGACGAAAGAATTACACCTTATAAACTGTAAAGTGCATAACATGCCAAAATTTACTCTTAATCCAGCATATCTTTTCGTTCTTCTCACCTGAAACCATTTTGGGAAATGACAGTTAAATACATATCGGGCCTTATTTAAAAAACAGTTTAATGTTGATATGCATGTTAAACTTAAACCATGTAAATGGATTAATTTAACACTAATATAAAAAAAAACAAGGATAATTACTAGTAATCAAGTGACAAAAAATGTGAAAACTAGAAAACTAGAAAAAATCAAACGTTTTAAAATCAAGCAGTGTGAAATTTTTATATTTTCGAATATCATGACTAGATACAACATTCTTGTATGTTGGTCGATATTTGTTCAGCTGATAAGAAAACCATTACATATCTAGAAGATATCTGTCTTACGATTACTTACCAGATTGTATGTATAGCAAAGATGAGGTCTGTAATAACCGTAGTTGGTCTTCTTGCAAGTATAATTTTGGTAAGATCTTTTATTTCGACAGTTTTATCTATTTATATTTTTATGTTAATCATTACATGTAATTGAAAACAGATGTTGGGTTTCCTTCAATGAGACAGCAGCCAAATGACATAAAGAGAGCGACATCTATCGGTCAATATAATTACAATCGCGTATGTCAAGTTCTAATTTCTCTACGAGTCTAGAAAATTTGAAATCTTGAATGAAGACTATCTGCTATCAACACCAATTCCCTTTCGAACAAAAAAACGTCTAAGGTATGGCCATGACAGTTATTGGCGAGGTTCCGGACATGGAACACGCATACTTGTGATGTGTGGTAAAACTAGTTTTCTGAGCACTCGCACGATTTACAATCAGTACATAAGAGGCGCTTTCCTCTAAAATTATCCCATAAAAAATGCTTGGATTTGATACAAGAATCCTCACCGTGCTGGTATTAAAATTTCTTTTAAAACTGTTAGCGACTATACTTCGTTGTACATTTCATACAGCAACTTCATAAACAGTAAAATAAAACAATCTTGTGCTATACAAAAACTATCACGAAGAATTAAAGACGGATAAATAATCAATAAATAAGCGTATTCGTTCTTCAGAATGGTGATATTAGTTTGGAGAAATGCAGTAGACTGTTGGCTAATTTACGTGTACTAATATTATAATATGTCTGCACATGTGACAACTTTACGACAGAGGTTCTCCATCAGATAACTCGTGGTTATACAGGACTAACACCATAATTTATATATACACTTCGTCTCAAATTTAGCCTAACATTGTTAGATTCTGCAAATTTGTGTTGGCACATGTTTGTTCTTGCCTAGGCGGGATTCGAACCCTGCTTCTGTGACATTTTGGCAACATCGCCTGGATTCTGCAAATTTGCGTATGCACATGTTTGTTCTTGCCTAGGCGGGATTCGAACCCTGCTTCTGTGACATGTTGGCAACATCGCCTGGACTGTGACCATTCGACCAACTAGGCTATATAAAAATATAGATTTCGTAAGTCGAATAATGCCTTTTTTCGTCGACTTTATCTAGAGTTGAAACACAGTAAATGATGTATAATAGCAAGTAGACGGTGTACCTTTCGTCCCAAATCCAGCCATATATATGGGTTGAAGACACCCGATTGGTTTTTTTTTGCCTAATTATACATGCATTTTCTTAAACAGGCGACCAATGCTGCCATGACTACAAAGCATCCTCATGGTCACCATTCAGTTACGGGTTTATCGTTCTATTACGACATGAGTTCTGTGAGTTTTGTTTTGTTATTTTGATGAGCTTAGGGTTTTAACTTTTAAGGTTTCACGATTGCATCACGTTTAACTTAAAACTCGTTTGCGTGCCAGAAATTCAAATAATCTAAAGAGTTAATGTTTATTTTACTTTTTATATTAACTTGTTTTTATAAAATTATTTCAACAAATTTAAAAATATTGAAAGAATGGACTGGCCCGTGCTAATCATTGTCAAACAGATATTCTTATGATAGAAAAATGAGGAGATATGGTATGATTGCGAATGAGACAACTATTCATCAGAGTCCAAATGAAATTGATGTAAGCAACACGAGATACGGCCTTCAACAATGAGCTAAACTTATACCGTATAGTCAGCTATAAAAGGCCTCGACATGACAAAATGTGGAATAATTCATCGAGAAAACCAAAGGCCTCATTTAAACAAAAACAAATATGACAAACAGCAACCAACGACAACCACTGGCTTACAGGCACATAAAAAATATGGCGTGTTTATACATGTTTGTGAGCGCTCTAACCTGGGACAGTGATGTAACATCACAAAATATATGAACAAATCATAAAAAAATCAGTGGGGAATGCCTTAACTCATCAGATCGGCATGAAGCAAAAAAAAAAAACTAACATAAAGACAACACACAAAGTACTGATCTAAGTGCACTCGTATTTACTGAAAGCTAATTTAATGCCAATTACAAATAATGAATAGTACAAAGTAAATCAAGTTCTTCCAGAGTAAAGTATCAATCAGTACACAGCCATCCGATATATAGTGTAAAAGATGTCATTAACAGTCTGAGAAAAGCATGACCGTGTGCAATGCCAACATATAAATACATAATACGACATGATGACTTTTTAAATGTAAAGCAATTCATATGAAGTTATGTTTAAAATCAAAATAAATTCAATAATAGGACTTATAAAAACAATATTCAAAGATATTACTACGGTGTTAAAACGATAACCTTTAATGATAAGGTTGATTTTTTTCCATATATAGACCATTTTGATCACAAAAATCGTGAAAAGAAAAGGACGATTTGTTAACAAAAAATGATCAGCTTTTAAAAATCGAACTGTTTTCTCAAAGAAAAAGATGTCGTATTTTATGAAAAAATTCTGCTACACACGTGATCTCATTTATTTTGGAGTTCGTGCGATTTCCATTGTTTTCTCTTCTATGTTTTGGAAAAACATTACGTATGCATTAAAAAAAAACACCAAAAATAACCAATATAGCAGCCGAGGTAAATACTTCGTTGTTGTTGCTCATCTTGAAAGTTGCAAGAAGGACTTCAAAGAAAAAACTTAAACGAAAATATGCAGAGATGTGTGGTTTCTCACAGCTGCTTTAAAGAAACCATAAACTTGAAAGTAGCGTGCGACATATACATATACAAATATTTTTGCACATATATAACAATAACGATCGGGAAAGAGTATGGAACGCCATGGCTGTCTTCTGATGTTGATTGTTTAATATGTTCGGTGTTTTATGCATTATGTTCAGTAGTATTTATATTATGTTCAGTAGTTTTGACATTATGTTCAGTAGTTTTGACATTATGTTCAGTAGTTTTTACATTATATTCGGTGCTTTGGTTATTATGTTCAGTAGTTTCATTATTATATGCAGTGGTATTTAAATTATGTTCGGTACTTCTGACGTTATATTCAGTGCATTTTTCATTATGTTCAGTACTTTCGACATTATGTTCAGTAGATTCAATATTATTTGCAGTACATTATGTATTACCTTCAGTGGTCCCGGTTTCTTTATATTCGGTGGATTATTCATTATGTTCTGTAACAGCATCAGTATTATACTCGGTTCAATGAACTATGTGTTCAGTGGTTAACTTGTATCATTATGATGATGTAGTAAAAGTCGGGAAATCAATAACATTAAGTATTAAAAATGCTACCATTACTCTTCTGTAATAAATGGAAGCTTTAAGGTTACTTCAAATTTCAAATGAGGTACATAAGAAAACATTTAAAATATAAATTATTATTTTTAGTAGAAACTTGAAATTTTCTTGCAATGCTAGGCGGTGTTCTCGTAGAAGTGAGAAATAAAGTGCAGGTTCCAGTCTGGCTCGGTGAGGAAGTAAAGAATCAGATCTACTCTAACATCGTTAGGTTCATTTTCTAGGCATTATATATATATATATAAATCTTTATACATTGTTTTCCTCTAAAAAAACGAAATGCAAACAAATAATCAGAATTGAAAGTCGAATGATGATTAAATGTAACAATAACGTTAGAAATATGAAAACTTTTTATTTTAAACAAATCTTGTTTAAATGTTTTATTGTTAAAAAGTGAACGTACCGGTATATATGTATATATAAGTTTCATTCTATTCTAGCCTGTTGTCATTTTCTTGATTTTGTTCTAAATGATATAGCTCTTACATGTCTCTGGATAAAAATAATTGAAATATAATTAATTACATTGGCAATTTAATTGTAATGTAATTAATTACATTTGAAAATCAATGTAATTGTGACGTAATTAATTACATTTAAAAATCAATGTAATTGAAATGTAATTATTTACTTCGGCTTGTAATTGACCCCAGGTCTGCTTCATTGTGGCAATGATTTGGTCATTCTTAATCGTGGCAATGATTTAAGCATACTTCATCATGGCATTGCCGAGACAGCGTACACTTAAAACAGCTTTTTGAAGAATAATTTACATGTACATTTATTTTAACTCAAACAAATATGGGTCCTTTATTTAGGATGTTTTCTACGAGGCCCGTGTCGGGCCCATATGGGCTGAATATATATACATAATAGAAAAAGAACGGATATGGTGAAACGTAACAAGGTCAAATGCCCCAGCATATAACATAAATACAAAATAGTAAATTTTCAGAGATCACCCTAAAGGTCTTCGATAAACGAAAACACACCTTGAAGTGAGCTCTGGAAGGCCCAAACAACAAAGTTATATTTAATCCGCGGTTACTGAGCGATAAACTAGTTTTATCAATCAATCAATAGGAAATGTATTGATAAAGCAACCTTGGAGAATTGTAAGAAACTAGACAGCATTTCGAATAGGTCTCATTTCTAATGGAATCGCAATTTACGCATTTTCACAAAAAATCGTAAGTGTAAAGCAGTCGTAAGTTACGACGTCACAATACTTAGATCTTTTATGACGTCATATAACATTCGACTATTTTTACCATAACGATTTTTTGTGAACAGCAGGCCCCTAAGGCAAAGAAAAATGTATGTTTAGGGTTACACTGGAAGTATAAATGGGATAGGTAGCTATGCATTTATCCGGTCGTTCACTGTCGATTTATTCAACTTCCCTACAACCTCTTTATTTTTAGACGTATAATTAACCATTTGAAGTTTTGTTAGAAATGAAAACCCTACGAGATTTATATAAATAGTCATCAATCCAAGAAAGGATATACTAGTATGAAGGGGAGTGTTGAGTACCAATTGGAAGAGCTGTCTCCAGATATCTCAAGCAGGCCCGGGCGGATCCAAATATTTTCGAAAAACGGGGATGTGGTTCCGATCAAGAAACTTATATAAAGAAAGAGTGTTCCATGCTGTTATTTTCCGCTGTGTTTTGGCCAAATCTTAGAACAAAACGGTAGCCCAACCCCCAAACAATCCTGATGTATCACCCGCTATATCGTGCATTTATAAAAATGGAACCTTTCCTTGAACAAGACCGACATGCTAGAATGAAACGTTTTATTATTTAATATTTTACGGTCATATTAGACATTTTTATCTTATATCCCTCTGAGCGAAAAAAAAGCCCGCCGTATCAAACAAACTAAAAACCGGCAGCTAAGTTGAAATGAAATTAATCTTAACATATTTTAGTACGGTTGATGACAAATAAAAATAAAATTTGCTTAGACGATGGCACATATATACATGTAGTAATTTTGATAGTGCATTTTTTTTAGGAATGGTGACAGTCTATAGACTGGTGATATTGCTTTTTGTAATATCAATTAGTTTGGCTATGTGGCCACGTGTTATGATAATAGAGCTGAAGGTGCTCCAGGGCTTTAAAAGTGTATGACTAATGTTTCCTGCACCAGACCTAATTGTTGAAATTATTTTCTAAGACTTTAGCGTTTATGTTAATGTACGCGTCTCTGGTCTCTGGAACTAGGTGCCCAGAAACTAAACGCTTTTTACATGACACATAGGTGTCTATGCGACAATTTGTAGCTTATCAACTGAGAAATGATTGTAGCTAGTTGAAAGGTACATGTACACAAATGTATCTTAGGACAGAATTCATTTGTCCATGAAGAAAACGTCCGTCAAAAATATCCGCGTTCGTTTTTTTTCGACAATTTCGGTTATTGATTTCCCGACTTTTACTGCATCATCATAATGATACAACCACTGAACATATAGTTCATTGAACCGAGTATAATACTGATGCTTTTAATGAACATAATGAATAATCCACCGAATATAAAGAAACCGGGACCACTGAAGGTAATACATAATGTACTGCAAACAATATTGAATCTACTGAACATAATGTCGAAAGTACTGAACATAATGAAAAATGCACTGAATATAACGTCAGAAGTACCGAACATAATTTAAATACCACTGCATATAATAATGAAACTACTGAACATAATAATCAAAGCACCGAATATAATGTAAAAACTACTGAACATAATGTCAAAACTACTGAACATAATGTCAAAACTACTGAACATAATGTCAAAACTACTGAACATAATATAAATACTACTGAACATAATGCATAAAGCACCGAACATATTAAACAATCAACATCAGAAGACAGTCATAAAAGAGACACAGGAAAAATATAACATTCATCAATAAAAGTCAAGGAATTCAATTGTTAACATATGTGTATTATGCAAGGGTTTTTTTTACAAATGAGTTTACAAATATGTTGCCACACTTGTACATGTTTAGTGCGAGAAGATTTAAAACAATTATGACAGTGAAACATGACATGTTTATACCTTAGAACAATATGGTGATGAAGAAAGATGGATACTGTTATTTCATGGTTTTAACGCCAGACCAAGAATCAAGTGTAAAGAGTCAAGATGGGTTAAGGTTAATTGAGGTAAATCACGTTTATCATTCGTGGGATACCAATTTTTGCGGATTTCGTAAGTATACGTGAACCACGAATTTAAATGTTCAACGAAGTACAAATTATTTTTTGGTAAAACCACGATATCAAATATCCACGAAACTATAATGTTTCTCTATCCACGAAAACAAATGAATCCACAGTATATCAAAATGGATTTTCTTCAACGGCATTTGTTACTTTGCTGTAAAATTTAGTACATGCGCGATGAGACATACGTGGGAAAATCTATTGATACGATTAAGTTTGGTTGCTGTATTAATATTTTTTTTTCTAATATTGGCTAAAAGACCATCCTTATTTAATTTCGTTTAATGCAAGAGTGGTTTAAAATCACATGTCAACGACTTGAAAACGAAATTATCAATTACTGTTACTTATCGCTGTTTGTACAATTCTTATTAATTAAAGCAGTTCGGATTGTGGAATCTTTAAGATATAATTCAAAAACAGAAAGGGTCAAAAGTATGTAATTTACTAATAAAAGTATGGTAAGAAATTAAAGGAGTAGGCCCGGTAAGACCGCATTTAAAAAAATTGTTAAAAATGTAAACTTTTAGCTATTTATTGGAAAGAAAAATACTTTCTTTACATAAATATGGGCTGTTTTTTGACATTACACTGCACATGCATCAGTTACTATCATCATTAATTCATGCAAAATTACTGAAATCTTCACAATTTTAGTATTTGTGTTAATTTCAGACGGTTTTTGTCTAAAATGGAAGTGGCCGCACTTGTGTTCAGTCTTAACATTTAAATATATGTTGTATTTATATAATAGTTATTGAAAAACTGGTCATTATCGTGATATATGGACTGCCCACAGGACAGTGGTATTAACTAAGACAGCGATAATGACTGAGCCGTCCTACGTTTATTTCATTGAGGAACCATGTTTTTAAAAATTCTCATAAATTCAAATTGTTCAAAGCAAACTCGAGTTATTGTACGAGTTCTACAGGAAAGAATGAAGACCAGTCATAGTGATAACTATAAGTCACTGCCATTCATTTAAGTGCAATTTTTTCAGTATATGAATACAAAATAAAGTTTTTTATAATTTTATAATTAACGAAAACATATGGTAAACAATTAAACAACTTCAATATAAAATTGAAAACAGGAAAATGTTTTATTAAAGAGACATCTCTCTTAACAGAGAAACCACGCCCCACCGATCATTAACATGTAAAAACAGAGAAACCACGCCCCAACGGTCATTAACATGTAAATGTCCTTTAACGACCGGTTTTCTGTTCCGTTTATTAGCTCACCTGTCCCAAAGGGCCAAGTGAGCTTTTCTCATCACTTGGCGTCCGTCGTCTGTCGTCCGTCGTCGTCGTCCGTTAACTTTTACAAAAATCTTCTCCTCTGAAACTACTGGGCCAAATTTAACCAAACTTGGCCACAATCATCACTAGGGTATCTAGTTTAAAAAATGTGTCCGATGACCCCACCTGCCAACCAAGATAGCCGACATGGCTAAAAATAGAACATAGGGGTAATGTTGGCTTATATCTCTGAAACTAAAATGTTCATCAGGTTAAGATCTATCTGCCCTGAAATTTTCAGATGAATCAAACAACCCGTTGTTGGGTTGCTGCCCCTGAATTAGTAATTTTAAGGAAATTTTGCAGTTTTTGGTTATTATCTTGAATATTATTATGGATAGAGATAAAGTGTAAACAGCAATAATGTTCTGCAAAGTAAGATCTACAAATAAGTCAACCAATTGGCCCCATTAGAAGTTATTACCCTTTAAAGTCAATTTTAACAATTATTCGTAAGTTTTTGTAATCTTTTACAAAAATCTTCTCTCCTGAAACAACTGAGACAAATTTAACCAAACTTGGCCACAATCCTCACTAGGGTATCTAGTTTAAAAATGTGTCCGATGACCCTGCCTGCCAACCAACATGTCAGACATGGTTAAAATAGAACTTAGGGGGAAAATGCAGTTTTTGACTTATATCTCTGAAACTAAAGCAAATGTATAACGGTTGCATTATTTCATGCATCAATTGTAAATAAAAATATCAGGTAAGCGACACAGGCTCCTTGGAGCCTCTAGTTTCTGTTAATGACCGATGGAAATTATTACTGAAGAATAAAGAATGTCATGTGGCCCCTTGTTATCCAATAAGAGAAGCTAATTCTTAAACGATATGAAATAATTGATGATAATACATAACATATATAAAGGTTGAGACTGAACACGAATGCGGCCACTTCCTTTTTAGACAAAAACCATCTGAAAAGTGACGTTTTGTGGCATATTTGATAGATTTTTCATATATAAGCTTGAATTTAGGCGTCTTTAATAACTAAATCAGTTCAAACCTTTTACAAAAACTAATTGAATCGACTGAAGAATTAGATGTACTTCAAATTTTAGGCCAAAATAAGCCCTTATCGGACCATCTCCTTTATTCTAAGACCACCAGGTTGTTGACATAAACTAATTTATCCTGGTAAAAGTTTTTTTAAGAAAGTTAATTACTAGTTTAAACTATTCCTTTTCACATATTTCAGTTAAAATAGAAACAAAATGGTCGTATCAGTTTAAAATCCAATTGAAAACAAAAATGTACTTATTCAATAGAAAAAAAAGGATATGGGGTATCCATCCATGACATAAAATCAGTACATGCAACGCAAAAAAACATACAAAAAGCAAAGGAAAAGCGCTTTTATTGCTGTTCTTTATCTCAAACTCACAGCGAGGCCTTTAACACGGAGCAAAAACAATCTCCCACCTCACTGCAAGTTTAAGACGGCCCCTAGCACCGGTTTGAGCGGAATTATTTGTATAGAATTGGGCAATTTTGATTTTGTTTCAAATTAGTTATTATTAAGGCCCATTTGCAGATCAGGCATAAATTTGTAAACTCGTGTATAAAGATAAAAAAAAAAAACACCTTAGGTACACGGCGCGGCTAGGGAGGCTTTTTAAGGTAAAGTTAGGTTGTAATATAAGTCTGCATCCATTCAGGTCACTTTTGTGATTCCGTACCCCGTTCTTTATGTAATTTCTATTCTATACGGCGGACTTTCGGGAAATTGATATTTCCATTTGTGTTGTTTTTGATATGCATATATATAGTACAGATAATACTTATATTTTCTCGCGGTTCGAAAGTAAAGCGGGAAAATATGGTATTGACGTTATGGGTAATAATATGTGTATGGTGAAATCAGAGGGGTCGATTTAGATCCGGATATTTATGCATGTTCGAGTCGTTTGTCTTTTTCTAGCTGCCGTTCGTACAGGCATGACTTATCTATACACATGTATATATAGTTGAGGTCCGAACACCTTTTTCCTGGAATAGACTTGTTCATTGTCATAACATCTTGTATGTTCATGCTTCTCGACCAATGAAGTATTGTTTGAGTACGTCCAAAATGAAAGTTTTCCTTAAAATCAATTTGGATGAAAAAGAGTCATACATTTTTACCTTGCTTGAGATTCAATCTGTTAAGTTACCTCACTATTAAATTTATATAATTTCTGCAAAATTATTTTCTTAAAACACATTAAAAGACAAAAAAACAAAAACAAAACCAGACAAAATAATTCATATAATTGTTGAAAGCTACAAGATATACTTTGCGCCCATTTAGAATAGAAATCATATTATTAAATCATTGATTTCTATTTCTTACAGGTTAGCATGTTGACTTTACATACCACGGCTGCTCATCTTGGAATGACAGGAACAGACCATGCCCATCTGTCACACTACATATACTCTCATTTCTGTAAAAACGAGCCTTTGATCAAGCTTGTTGAATAAAAAATGCAAGAAAACGTACTTTGGAATTCGAATGATTGTAGATTTGAAAATAAGTTGAACCATGTCTTTTAATTCTAGGGAAAAAAATATATGATATAGCCTGGGATCCCAACTCATTTCTGAGCAGCTATGCGAAGCTTACATTTAGCCGAAATCTCATGTTGTTTCGGGTGACAGTCTACAAAAAGCACTGGCAAGAAGAAAATGTGCTTCCACCGTTCTTAGTTCTTCTTTCTAAGAGTTGATTTAAAGTCTCAAAATATGAAAACCTTTCACAATAAATCAATCAACATTAGCTGGATTGGACTTTTTAACGATTATTGCAATCCATTGGTGAACAGATTATCCTTTTCCGTGCAACACATTGACACATCCTAATTTTTGGGAGTTCGCATTGTCCTAGTTTATTAGCTTAATGGTGGCAATACAAAGTCAGGAAACAAACTTAAAATTGGCATTCATAATTTTAACCAGGCTCTTTCCCTTGCTTTCTTAAAATAACGCTTACTATAAAAATAAGGAGATGAGGTATGATTGCCAATGAGACAACTATCCACCAAAGTTCAAATAAAGTGTCTTACTGTTTGTGTCATATATGTGAATATGTATGTTCCTAAGATTTGCTTTCCAATAGTTAAAATGGTGAAATATCATTTCGCTTTGTTGTTACCAAGGCAACACTCTGCATTCAATTGATATAAAATATTGCAAAAAAAAGTTGGTGGGGGGGGGGGGGTTAAAATGCCACAAGTGTCCCCAAAATTTGGTCCAAAGTAGAATTTCAATCCATTTGAGTGATACCTTTTCCGAAACCTTTGACATTTATCTATCAAGAGATCAAGTAAAAATCCATGCACGTCACCCATTTTCTCGTAAAATTGCATCGCACAGTTCTAGCCAAAGATATTTGATTTCTGGACGGTACGGATATGAAAACAATCAAACAGAAAATGGTCAATAAAACATGCAAAAAACATTCTTGATAATCATATAAACCCACTGAGGTGGACTATATTATTCTTTAGCTATTATCGTTAAATCAATTATATTGCACAATAACTTTCATATTTGAAAATTTCACAGGGGCCAAATGTGACCTGTGCATTGCTACTTTACGTGTTGTTTGTTGTAAAGAAAACACCGTACAATATGAATCCCGTGCATACGAAATATTTCTCCAAAAAACCTTCATCAGGTACACTTGAGACCAAAAGTTTCGATAGACACAAAAAAGCCCTTTAGAGCATACAATCCAAAAGAGCATCAATTAACAGCCAATTGGTATCTTCTGCCTCTTTTTTAATCATTACCCAACAAGGTAGATTCTAAAAGTGGGTCAACTTGGATTAAGGGCGGGAAACGTAAATCGAACGAGGTTGCGTACATAATACACGGCCAAACGGAAGTCTCCTTAGCAGGGGTCTTACTACTGGATAGAGGAATTCTGTGTGAACAATGTAACCCTTGCAGCTCCTTGCAATTTCGATATTTTGATTTTGTTCTGTACGAATTAGAAGATTTCTGATTTTACCCTTTTTAGTGTCACTCTCCATGAACAAAGTCATGATATAATTGTTTTTCGTGTATTCATTATCATAACATATTTATCAAAATAATGTACATTTTCATAGCATGATTGACATTGTCTTTAATTGTATGTAAACTCTTTATGAAGTTAGTGTGTGACACTTGTAGTGACAAATATTTAGCTAGAGGCTATCATCACCTCGGTAATACACATTAAAGGACCGTGAACTTTTAGAAACTAACATCTTTTGATATTATAAACATAATTATATATATATATATATATATATTTGTAAGACTAGAGATCTTAATGGATAAGACACAAGAACCTGTACATGTTAATATCACCTTCTGCAGGAAAAGGAGACACAATGTGCCATTTTTTAAATCTTATTTGTTGGATGGTAAATCAGCCGTGTGAAATGACGATTTGATGGCTGCAGGTAAGGATAATGATTAACTGTCTTATCTAGATTCCACCAGAAAATCGTGTCGTTAACTTTTTTATGCATCGCATGAAATGCACGGTTTTATTTAATGACTTACTGTGTAAAGTTTTACCAAAGCAGTACGGTTAAAATACCAAATGTCTTTTATACTACACTATATATTTGTGTTTTGTCTGTCCTGTCTCGCTATGTATTATCTTAATATGTGTCTAATTATATTGTCCTCTTCTACATCTGTATGTGTCTACCTCAGCCTGGACACATAACCTCTATGAATAAAATATTGATTCTAAAATCTTGAATCTTGTTAAAATTAGAGAACTAAGAAAATAACTTTACGAGACAGCTGATGGACATTGGAGCGTCCAAGATCTACAGCGGTAATCCATCTCGTACATGTCCATATTTGGACATAACGAAATAATTATTTTTTTTTAATTTGAGACTATCATCAACTGGCATCTTTGTGTAGCTGTATCATTTATGAAAGAATTTTCCGGTTTTTTTTTCTCATCTTAACTTAAGCAATCAAAGCTGACAATATATTTGAATTACTATGTTATGTTACGTTCTTTTTCTTCTTTATTGTCTTTTCAATATGGATAATTTGTCTCCAACTTCCATACTTAATCCAAAAATAATTTGACCGGCTCTTCCTCACTCTCCATCTACTACATCCTGTCCATTTTTTCTCCTTTTCATTTCATATTAACTTTATTACATACAACTCTTGGTCATGGCCCTGGTATAGCTTTTTGTGTTGCAAGGCCTAGGGCGTAAAACACTAACACTTAATGAATATCTGCTGATAAATTTGAATAAAAAATGGTAACAGTGGTAAATTTTATTTGTCAAATAAGTTTATCGTATTAGTACAAAACAGATTGGAAACTGAGAAAAAGAAAGAATAGAAAAATCATTGTTTTGTCCTGACTTAATGATTAGAATTAACAAACGCTCTAAATTGCTAACATCCGTATTTTTTAAACAAGTTATTGAAAAAAAGGTATTTACATCGATCATGCTATTAGTGTAATATCGTATATAGATAAGAAACTGGTCAGTTATCAAGGGAATGAATATAGAGTTACATTTTTTATCGTGAATATCAAAGACAAATCTTAACTAAGCGTAAATTTCTTATTACAGAATGTAAACTATTCATAGTTGAGTTTCTTACTAGAAAACAAATTATAATATCTTACGTTTTATTCAAAATAGCCACAGGTGACAAACTGCAAAATAACAAAATAATTCAAACATTCAAAATTTCAAGATGAAAAAACAAGCATGTATCCCTCCTGAGGCTGACTTCATACCAGAGCTTTGTAGGAAGAATGAAAAAAAGCTAGCATTATGCTTCAACTTCACTTCCACTATATAGATGATGTCCTCTCACAAAATAGTTCAAACTTTGGTGACTATGTTGAACGCATCTATCCCATCGAACTTTAAATACATGATGCAACGGATACAGTTAAGTCTGCATCATATCTTGACTTACATCTAGAAATTGATAATAAGGGTCGGTTGAAAACAAAACTTTACGACAAAAGAGATGATTTCAACTTCCCAATTGTGAACTTTCCATTTCTATGTAGCAACATTCCAGCAGCGCCTGCATGTGGAGTATATATCTCCCAGTTTATACGATATTCCAGGGCTTGCCTTTTCTATCATGATTTCCTTGATAGAGGGTTGCTGCTCACAAGGAAGCTATTAAACCAAGAGTTCCAAAATTTTACGAACGCCAACACGAGTTGGTTGACCATCATGAAATATCTGTTTCACAGATGACGACGGATATGTTCCAATCCAGTCGTAATCACAATCCCGTCCTTCTTTTCCCCGAATGTGACCTACCGAATAAGACTTATCAGCGGCTTTATACTTAGATTAAATGAACAACACGACGGGTGCCACATGTGGGGCAATATCTGCCTACACTTCCGTATAACCTGAGATCACCTCGGCTTTTAGCGGGGTTCATGTTGCGAGGTCATTAGTTTTTTATGTTGTGTTTTGTACTTAGTATACTGTTTTAAGTCTTTTGGCCTTTTTATTGTTTTGCCATGGCGTTGTCAGTTTTAATTTCGACTTATGAGTTTGAATGTACCTTTGGTATATTTCTTTCGCCTCTCTCCTACAACTTATCTATGTCCTGTGAAATGACTGCGACAACTCTAGGTGACATTTAAGAAACAAGCCAGACTGTTTTCGAGTTAGACTAGTGGGTTATTCTGTATGTACATGTGAGTCGCTGTGACGGATTGTACACAGCGCAGAGAAAAGAAAAGAGGAAGACTGTGGTAGAATTAGAGGTTTAAAGAAAGGAAGCTTAAATCGGTTAGGTTAAAGAAGATTTTTTAAAGCACAATCAGTTAGAGCTGCCTTTTAATTCAACTTGTGTGTTCGAATCCCTCTAGTAACTTGCATGGAATTTTCAGATCAATAACAAAACACCTTAGGTTGCAACAGTCCGAATTAACATTTGGGATCTTTCTAGCTGACAAAATGCTTAATTGTTTAGATGAAACTTCTGTTCACTTTTTCACTCCTTGAATTATTTAAAAGAAATAAAAAAAAATTAAAAAAGTTTGACAGCTTTTAATTCCTTCAACAATATTTTTCTTTAGAAATTCCAATTGTAATAAATAATAATTACAAATACATGTATGTTTCATTGGAAAGTGTAATTTTAGTTGGCTGACAACAATCGAGAGGCACTACAATAACATATTTTATTTTCGTATAAAATACAACAGCCATGACTGCACGTGCTATCCGTGACAATGTTAAAATAATGCATTGAAAAACAAACGAAAAGCTTGATTTAACTCTAAATTTCGTGGTTGCAGCATAAACTGTAATGATAAGCATTTACTACTAAGTCTTGTTCAATGCATTTGCTATTTTAGTCAATTACAGTTGTTTGATATGGAAAACTTTCATTTTGCACTTGTGTATTGTCAGATTATTATTTGAATATGCATCTACTCGAATATTGAACTGATCACTATACCCTTCCTACAAATAGTATTTACTATTTCAATAGAATCATATGATTATACAGTTTCATTATTCACGCGAAGAACATAACGAGAATTTATAATTTACTTTTCCGGAGAACCTGAGATCACCCACGGTTTTTTGATGGGTTTGTGTTGCTCAGTCTTAAGTTTTCTATGTAATGTCTAATATACTGTTGTTTGCCTTTTAGTCGTTTTTCGTTATTTGGCATGGCATTGTCAGTTCGTTTACGACTTATGAGTTGATTATCCCTTTGGTATTTTCTCCCCCCCCCCCTTTTTAGCAGAAAAATAAATTGTAACTCAAATTGTTTCGCATAGTATTAATGAAATGGGTTGTGCTATATAAATTGGATTTAGAATTAAAAAATATTTTTAACCGAAAAAAAGGTTAACATAAAAGAGGTATTCACCGCTCTTTACGTCTAGTATAACAATTATTTTTTTAGAATTATCGGTCATATTACACAGGCATTAATTTTGTCTCTCAAAGTAAGTAGTTATCGATTTTTTAATCTCGCAAATCCATTTTGAATATACAAATCAAGATAAACAAAACAAATCCTAGGGGAATTGCATGAACTCTAAATGGATCATTATTAAAGCAGTAACATTGATACCTGATACCCCATGTAACGCACTATTTAAGACAATATATTCAAATGAGGATAGATAGTAGTTGAATCCCGCGGCTAAGAGTTATGGCCAATTTTACCCCACTTTTTTTCACTTCAGGGCCGTTTTCATTAAGTCTTAATAACTGTTGGGTATTTTTTAAAATTTGAACAAATAATAAATATCTAAGAATGGTTAAACTGCAAATTTGACGGGTTTTGCTAAATTTGGAGTATTATTTATTAACAAGAACAGTTTTTACCAAAACCAAAATCCTCTCTGAAGTAAAGCTACAATTGTCGTTCTGATACAATTATTTGATTTTTGTTACAAATGTAACAACAATGTTCGATGTAAAATTTTACAAAAACATGTAAAATAAATATCGCATAAAATTTGTCTCAAACAACAATGTTAAGTATTGAATAACATGTTAATGTAGTGGATGTTTGTTCTTTAGCGTACAGAGAGTGTAGCACTCTCTCCACACGAGTCAAGTCATCAGATTTGACGTCCTCATTCTGACTAGACGTGGCTGCGAATTAATATATCCCGCACAGCCAAAACGGACGCCACATTGGTTAGGATTTTACTGCCAGTCGGAAAAGACCAAACATGACCATATTTCTATACCCCAGTCACCCTTGGGGTGTACTGTATGTGACTGGAATAATATCCAGATTTATAAAACAAATTGTATAACAATTTTCACCGTATAGACCTGTAATTTGCATATGTGTGCGTGTTCATATATATCTCTAAAGCATAATTTATTCACCTTTGAATTTATGATATCATTACTAAACTTCATAAATAACAGAATTATAGTAGTACGTTTAATACGGGGCACTACCGATTCGATTGTATATACTAAACATTTCTTTCTGTGTGAAATCACCATTATGTACATGTATTTTTACATGTTCTACATACGTACATGTGTATTGAATCTTCTCATTAATGTTTGTTAGCCCTTCGGTCCTAAATAAACAAACGAGACTCTTAAGCAATTAGCTTTTATGTAGGTGAAAAGAAGACTTATTGAATAACAAGTAAGATAAAAATAATGAACAACTTGTATCAAACGAAATTGACAACAGACGTCATGTTTATGAGATGACAATTTGTTAACGATAATTGTTGATTGCAAGAAACACTTCCCCCTTTTTATTGAAAATGATCTGTCAAGGTGTCATTTGTTGTATTAATTTTGATGTTTACGTATTTGGATAAATAGACATATGTACGTGCTGTATATTATATGTGTAACTACGAACTATCAAACGAAAATTAGATAGTAATAATGTACACAAATACTGGTATGTCACAGATACAAGATTTTTTTTAACATATTCTTGTACACTTTTATACTGCAACCATGCTATTTACGCAGTCAAACTGTATTAACGGTATGCTTCTAAAGCCTAATACTAAGAGTTTCTTTATTTCGAGACAATGTATATATTGTGTCTATGTAAATCATTTAAGATTTGTGTTGATTTCTGATAAAAAAAATCTAGTCCAAAACTACTAATCGTATTAAACAGCATTTTAATTATTGGACATACCACTAATGAAGTTCGTCTGCAGTGAATTAATTACTAGTATATATCAGGGGCCTGTTTATCACTAGGACATGTCCTCAGATCATCTTAGGACGTATCTTTGTCTTAAGTGCGTTTATCAAACATGTCGTAACTTAGGAAAAGTCATAGGAATCGTCCTAACTTTAGGACACCTAAGTAGGTGTCTTAAGATGGTCTTAGGATGGTCCTTACTTTAAGATATATTTTATGATGGTTAATTTGTAAACAAATACGACCGCCACCTATATATGGATCCCCCTTTTTCTAAATATTTTTCTATTTTACTTATTTAATGTCTTCTTGCTCTTTTCCAAAAGATATTGCAAAAACAACTTAGTATATATATGACACCCCTCTATTCATATTTTCCTCGTGGAAAATAAGAATAGAGGGGCATCGTATATATATATAAAACACATAAAATAAATGGACATAGGTTAAAATATTCAAGAATATTTACTTTAAAAAAAAGTTCAGAAAAAGGTGGTCCATTACCCAAGCGCATGTGATCCGTTATGGAATAATTTATGTATTCCGTATTTTTATGAAAGATGCCTCGATTTGCCTTTGAACTCTGTAAAGTATAACTTTCGAATTAAACTCAATCAAAAATATATAATTGTCTTTTATTAGTTTTCACTGTTACTGCTGTTTTACAAATAATTTGATCAATTATTATATAAAACGTTGTTACATTTTTTGTGTTTTTGTTTTTGTTTCATTAAGTTTGAATGTACCGTTATTCAGATAAATATTATTTCTTTTCTTTATGATAATACTAATAATATTTCTAATTTTTAATCTTGTAATTATTTACTACTGGTGAAATTCAATGCATTCTTTTTAAATTCATATTTTTCTTTACTCTAACACTTAGGACAGCGGTTAGGACATCCTAGCTAAGATAGTCCTAAGACAGCTTCGATGTGCATGCTGAGACATGTCGTAAGTCGGTCCTAACATTACCTAATTTATTCCTAAGAGAGGTCTTGGACAAATCCTAGGACAGCTTCGATAAACAGGCCCCTGAATAAATAATTGAAGATTTCGAATGTCGAAAAATATTCAACTATTTACCAACGACACTGATAATTCACTACGCGCATTCGTGAATAAATGTATATTACGGTCACTTTTAAATTTTTTGGAGAACTCTTTGATTAATTATTCTTTTTATTACATTTAAGTTTTAATGTTTTATTATCAAGTACAAAATGCAAAGAATTATTAGTATATTTTTTTCTACTCGTTCTCACTTCGTTTGGATACAACTTTTTCGACAAATCTTAACAACCCGTATGACATCATAGGCGTGCAAATACAGGTTTGATTAAATATGGGAAATATCCATTTGACTTGGAAATCATGATAATGTTTCATTGCAACTTACATAATGAATTTCATTATGAAACATTGTACGTCAACCCTCCCATTCCATTTACCCTGGCCACAATTAAACTGGGAAGTTGTGTAACACAGCAGCAACGTTTTTTGTTTGTTTGGTCTGTCACTTTTCCAAATACCAAATTGAATTAATCAGCATGACTGTGTGTCATCAAGATAGCATGGACAGTGCAGTTAGCTATCCTCGTTTTTCATTATTTAGTTTGGAATATCGGGAGAATAGTTTGGATAAGAAAATGATTTCCGAACGTTCTTTCCGTCATCCGATTAGGATTTATGTCAGTACTTCCCTTTCCCACGTTAGTAGGTACAGACATGATCAGTAACGAGATGTCCAAAACTTGATTTACTGTTTCTTTGATGTTTAAATGTAAACACAGTCCCTAATATATGATCATATCCAGGTTTCTTATTGAGAAAAAAGGAGTATTTATGTGTTCATGTATTTCTTAACATTAAAGGTTGTTTTAAACTTTTCAAAACATGTCAAAATCTATGAAGTAGAAAATTTCTCGTTAAACATTGTTGTAATCGGATCTTATAACATATAATACTTAATTTATATTTCAGTAAAAAACATGCACAACTTGTAAATTAATTGAATTAATTAGAATAATGGACTGGTTGCTTTATATTTATGGCTGTATCCAAATTTTCTACTGTATGGTAGACGCTGGTAGGACTTCTAAAGTTGTAGTTAAATCGAGTATGGGACCATTGCAAGGATTCAAGGTTTTATCAGGAAGTTCTGAAGTAGCCGTCTTTAGAGGCATTCCGTATGCTAAACCCCCAACAGGAAGTCAACGGTTTGAACCACCGGAACCTATGTTGCCATGGAAAGATGTATTTATTGCTTCTGGTTATGGTTCTGTATGTATTCAGAGTTCTACAATAGATAACAAAACTTTCATTGGAGACGAAGATTGCTTAACACTTAATATTTTTAAGCCAATGCTTTTCATGAAGGAAAACCGGAATATTCCCGTAATTGTTATGATTCATTCGGGGAATTTTATTTCTGGATCGGGCAATTACATTAATGGCGTTGAACTTGCAAAAACACTAGATGCGGTAATTGTCACGGTGAACTACCGCTTGGGAATATTCGGATTTTATTCAATGAGAGGACATATTAAAGAAAATTTAGGAATTTTAGACCAAATAGCTGCTTTACAGTGGATAAAAAATAACATTAGAGATTTCAGTGGGAATCCAGATAATATATTACTTGTTGCAGACCAAATCATGGCATCGGTACATTTGATGAGTTCTCGTAGTAGATATTTTTTCAACAGGGCTATTTCGTTTGACGGAGAGTCGTATCTAAATCCCATTGCTGGATATAATTTTAATTTCGAAAGCCATCGTACAAGACTAGAAAACCTTTGCGGGAGTATTGAATCAACCAACAATTTACCCGTTGAACACATAGTTTGGGTATGCTTGAGAAGTGCTGGAATTGAAAATCTGTATAACTTATCACATGAATTAACCGAACATTTGTGGCACCCCTTTCGACCTGTGTACGACGGTCATGTGATTAGTATTGACTCCCATATCGTTACAAGCTTCCTGCATTGTGATTATTTAGCTTTTAAGTCAGATTTGTTGATTCCAATGTTAACAAACAGAACTGAAAATGACACATCATGTAAAGAAATTTTCAGTGATGTTGTTTCTCATGTGTCAAAAGAGAGATATAGACATAATAATCATCTGTTAGAGAACGTATTACAATCATATTATTTTCCACAATTTTCAAACCATTTATTTAACTTCTGTAAAGCAGTAAGATTGTTGCTAAACGACTTAATGACGTCAGCTATCATATCATTGGCTAATCACCATAGTCGAACTGGATTGACATTTCTAAATTTTGTGAATTTCAATGTTGACGGAACGTCTTTTTCTGAAAGTTCAATTAATATGCAAACCACCAATATAGCTTGTATATTAACCAACCAAAACACAGCGTCGTGTCAACTTCCAGTAGAAATTTCAGCTGGAATAAATAAAGTAGTACGAACTTTCCTGTATCATGGGTAAGTTATATTATGTATTATTTCTTATAATATAACCACCCCTTTTCAAAAATAAAATACTATTGAATTTTTGTTTAAAGAAAAAATAAATATTGTTTACAATTTGAAAATGTGTCCAAGTCCATACCAAAAGCAAAAACTCACTTTGAAAGAGAAAAAAAAAAAACGAAATAGAAAGTGCACCATGGAGTTACATTTGTATGTTAGAACGATTCTTAGAAGGTTTCATTGAAATCAAAGTAGGAGTTTCGTAGGAGATGTTGATTCACGACACATAACACCTTTTGTAGATATGACAAAGTCTATTTTGGTTAGGAAAACTCAGAAGATCATTCTGAAAAGAAAGAAAAAAAAACATAGTAAATGCATGATGTCACTATATATACAGAGAGATTTTGTGAGAATGTTATTGGGAATTGAAAAAAGTCACTTAACAGGCGTAACTGTTACAAGATGCCTTCCTCTTTTTTTGTGCTATGGGAAACCTCCAAAACTATTCCAATCAAAAATTGAAATAGTACAATGCAGTGAAGTACTGCAGATTCTATGAAAGTTTCATTCAAATTATTTTTTTGGTTTAAGGAGAGTTGAAAGAGCAATTTGCAGCTAGTCGTAAGAACGATCGAATGGACGCAATGATCTATCGCTATTCATCGCTTGATTCATTAAGCGGAGTTATAGAGATTTATCAAAGCTGCAGTTATTTATTTTATATAAAATTTGGAGAGAGAAAAAGTAGTTATAAGTTATGACATTATGCAAAACTGTAACAAAATACGAATGTACACAACAAAGCTTGTTCTGCTATTGTGATAAGCATGTAGTCAATAATGTTTTACTTTTCCTTACAAGTTACCCAACAGTAAATTCCAAAGTAGTTTGGAGGCCTTACACTACTACAAGCAAAAATTATTTACAAATTACGGATGAAATGTTTTACACTGGAGCCAGTTCTAACTGGCCAGCTGAACGAATAGAACGTCTTTGGTTGAAGACATTACCTGACGTAGATGTTGCAACTTCATTTTCAACGGATCCTGATGTCAAAGTCATACAGCAATCGGGTACGTTCTCAGAATGATAGACTATGTTCTGAATTGTTTTTTTTTTCCATTTAGAGTCTGAGGTTAACACTGTGTCGATTGTGAAATGATTTTAAATGCGTACAGTGTATCTGCGTTTTTTTTTTAAAAATAAATCTGCATTTTACCTACAGTCAGATTTAAGATTCATATCTTTAGTTTTGCTAAGGTATAATGATGTAATGGTTCTTTTTTCTGTCTTCTTATCTCTTTCTAAATCTACCTATTTTTTTGTTTAAAATAACGTTTCGCACCTCTCTGTGCAGAACTTTATAGCTTTGAAAAAAAAACAGATTTACAAGATGTTTGACATAGAATCTCACAATTCTGAAACAAAACTATCAAGAGCCTTTTTATCACTGCTGCATCAATGTCTGACATCTTGAAGATATTTTATAAGGTTCATATCTGATTGTCAATGTTACAATGTCTTGGCTTTTGAGGAAACTTAACTTCTGACAGATGAGATTAATTATTATCGTATTGGAGATTGAGATCGTCAAAAGAGCACACAACAGCACATACGTCAGACAAACTACATTTTATGTAATTTAATTGATATCAAAGTATAAAATCTGTAATAATTTCACTTGAATGTTACATTTTGACATGACGACACAAAAGAACTGATAAGAAGAGCACAAAACGGGTGATATCATGAATTACTCATTTAGACAAGTGTTAACAAATTTAACGATGGTCAAGAGTCATTTATTGATGACGGTAAAAAAAATTGGTGACGGTCAAGAGTGAACCAATTAGATGATGGTCAAAAATGAACAAATTTGGCGATAGCCTAGAGTTAACCAATTTGACATCGTGTATGGATTTGATTGTTGCATGATTTTCTGTTTCATCGTGATATCCAAGTTCTGTCGATCCGTTGCATTGTATCAAAAGGTCAATAAAACTTTGGCGAAAAATAAAAATGTTTATCGTGACCAAGTGTGAATGATGGTACAGATGTTCTATTTCATTTTCGGTTTGCCAAGCCAGAACACAGAGAGGGACCTAATTTGGTAAACCAAATATATTCAAATTAAGGAATTAAAAAAAGAGGATCATGTTCCTTATTTACACACAATGATTTTGATTTAATGTTAGAAAGCTTCAGTCCGATGTTGATTGTGCTAAAAGTACGTCCTTTGTCTTGTTTTCTATTAAATTTTCATTTCATTTGGTCTCTCGATTTGTTTTCTTGTTTATTTACTTCTAAAAAGCAATGTCTGTATTAGTTTCTGAATTAAAATGTTTTGTTTTTTTTATTTATAAGATTTATTTTAAAAATGAATAGTTTCCTTTCTTATTTTACAGTTGGAATGTCTTGGGGATTAACAGAGCAGCAGGTAAAGTGTTGAAATCGTATTGGAATAGAGTAACATTGAAATGTGCGATCTGATATATATTTATTTTCAGGGGAATTTTTTAAACCGTTACAAATGGTATAAAGAAATGATTCCAATTATCTCCAATGATATGAAGATTGATTGATTGATTGATTGATTGGTCGGTGTTTAACGCCACTTTAATCACCATTATGCTATTTCGTGGCGGTCATTTTTTATTGGTAGAGAAAACCGGAGAGAACCACCGACCTTCGGTAGGAAACTGACAATCATAGTCAATTAAGATTGGAGTCGAGCGCACCTGCTCAGAAGAAATTAGTGTCTGTTGTTCATAATTGATTCATGTTTGTTCTATCTGTTAGGTTTGTTAGGAGTCTGTAATTCATTGGATGTTGTTGGTTGCTGTCTGTTTCATTTAATTTTCGTTTATGAAAATTGTAATGATATTGATTTATTAGGGAGCTACCATTTGATTTTATGGGGGGCTAGGATGAAATTTGAAGAAAAAAAGGCAGGACAAGTTTTGAGTAAAAAAAAAGGCAGGATGAGCAACTTGGCAAAAAAAAAGGCAGGATGACAAATTATGTATAAAAAGTCAGGATAACCTAATAAAAAAAAAGGGAGGACCGAGTAAAGTGAAAAATAAAAAGGCAGGACCGAGATTACAACTAAAAAAAAATGAAGGACACAATTTTTCATCCTAGCCCCCCCCCCCCCCCCCCCCCCATAAAAATCAAATGGTAGCTCCCTTAGTATCATCAGTTAATGACACATATGTAAATGCAGCATCATAAACTTTAGTTTTGAAAAAGAAAAGTTATCGCCCTTGTAATAAAAGATAGAGAACTAGAGCTAAAAACATGGATGTCTAATGATTGTCTTTTACTGAGGGAAGAAGTAAGGTCTCTTGGTAAAAGATTACAAAACGATACGATATTGTCTACCTTCGTCAAACTTATTCGAATTGTTTAAAACATTTTGATAAACATAAAATGAGGTTAAAAGCAGAGTTCAATAGGACTTTTATTAAAATAATTAATAATCTAGACTGCAAAGACTCAAAGTCGTTTTTGTAATCAGTAAACAATCAACAGGCACCCAGTTTTGTAGCAGTTCAAAGCAGAGATGGGTGGAACACTACACATCTTTGTTAAAATCAGATTTAGAACTTAAAACTTTCCGGTGAGCTTGAAAACACAAAAACAACCATTGTTCTCTGGATTACCCATTTTCTTCTAATGAGGTGAAAAAGGGGATCACATACCTGAAATCTGGCAAGTCTGGGTCGTATTGAATTGATACTGAATGAGTTTATCAAATATAGTGCCACTACTAATGGTTCTTGTTATTTTAAAACTATTCAATAAAATACTACAAGGTGGGAAATTTCCCAAAATATTGAATCTTTCATATACTAGTTTCTTCGATTTTTAAATCAGATGATCCTAACGATTGTTATAACTGTAGAGGTATATGTGTCTCAAGTTGCTTCGGTAAATAATTTACTTCACTACTGTAAAACAGATTAACCATATTCATAGAGTCAAAAGAATTACTCAGTGTTAATCAGGTCGGGTTTTGAGAAGGATATAGAAAAAGTCACCAAATTTTCATTCTGAAAACTTTAATTGATAAATATTTAAATGAGTGTAAGAAAATCTGTATAGCTACTTTGTGGACTTCAAAAAGGCATTCGACAGTGTTGGAAGGAAGGCATCCATGCACACATTGCTCAAAAATGGTATAGGAGGCCAATGGTATGACTTAATATAGAATTTGTATAGTAATACAGTATATTATTGGATGGTTCCATAGTGAATCATTCAAGGCTCATACATTTAGGGGTCAATCAGGGGGATAGCCTTAGCCTCACTCTATTTAATATTTTTTGTTGATGACATAGATTCCTATTTTAACTGATCATTTAATCTGAATCAAATAAATTTTAATCATCTTGTTTGCCTCTGTCTGTCAGTCCGTCGTTGCGGCTGAACGTCCGCAATACATACCTGTCATATTTTTCTCAGTAATGTCTTGATATTTTTTGGTTGAAAGTTTCATATATCTGATATCTACACTGATATCCCCCCCCCCCCCCCCCCCCCTTGGATCCGCCGATGGTGACACATGTTTGGATCCGTCACCAGTTATCTACTTCCTGTTTGCTGCATACATATATTTTTGACATTGATGCATGTATAAGAAAATGTAATCACATTTTTTTACATATCGGAGGGAGTTAATATTTGGTAGCACGCTCCATATTGGTAAGCTACACCATGTGACATATTTTGAGATTTGTTTGACAGAAAAACTTAATATGTAGGAATTTTAATATAAAATTGTATCTACCCGTTTTTTACCGGTGTACTTGACTGTGTTTAATGTAAATTTTGAGAGTTTACCTATGCTTTGTTGTTTATTAGCAATAATTGCAATTTTATCAGAAAAATCAAGTTATATATATATTCAATATTGTGTCGCTACATCTTTGTTATCATTTAATTTATTTTGTTTATTTCAGCTTGAAGCTCTGATTTTCAGCTTGGTTTTGTCATGTTTAGTTCTTCTTTGTGTGACTTTGACATTGTTTCGTATTGTCTGTTTTGTAAATGGGAAGACATTTTACACGAAAAAGAAGACACAACCAAAGAAAGGTGTTGTTTTGACAGACACAAAAAAGAAACGAGACCCAAACAGTTCCTTTGGTTGTAAAGTGTTTCATACACAAGAAAGTATTAGTTTGAATAGACGGACGAGTGAGCATGCTGACATCGATGCGTAATACTAGTATTAGTAATTTAAACATAATTACTCTTTAAATCATATGTATTTGAAGGACCAGTTAAGGGGGCATTTCAATACGAATTTTTGATTTTGTGAAACCTTGTTCCAATTTGAAAGTATATATATATATATACAAATGTTTTACCAATCTGTCCAGAACAATTGTTAAAATTAAGTGCGATTCACTTATTACTTTTCTTATTTAGAATGACTGAAGGTCATGGGTTTGATCTTATGTTGGGTTAAACAAATATTTTAAAATTGGTACTTGTTGCTTCTCCACTGAGCAAGTAACAATTGTAGAATTATGAGCAAAAGATAGTCGACTCGGAGTAAGAATAATGTGTGTTTTCCCCTTGGTATCTTTCCCGATTTTGCAAGTTGTTTTCGACTAGAACGTTAAAGTTAGACTCGATGATCGGTCTAGTATAAAACAGGGTTCATATTCATATCACATTATCACCCGTGATCAAGTCCTGAATATAAGTGTAATATTTGCCGACGGACGTTAAACATTCCATCAATTCATCATTTCTTAGATAAACCATTTCTCGGTTCGTAGCATATTTTTCATGCCCGATCAAGTAAAACTTATTTAGTAGTTGGTTACTTTACCTTAACATAATGCAGTATATGATAGTAATATTAAGTTTAATTTGATAGTAATATTCAGTTTGATCAATAATTGAGTTGATGTAGTAATAAGATACGTATGGGTGTAAACAGAAGATATGAGCCTTGGGAGTGTATTGAAAGATCAGAAATAGTAAAGTGATGGAACGTCAGAAGGTATGAATCTCGGAAGTGTATTCAAGGACCAGAAGTAGTATAGTGATGCAGGTCAGAATGGCATCGTGTAAAGTTTTGCTCTATATCACTCCATATCATATATATAACTTAAAGGATCTTGTCTTGAATTTTGATTTACAAAAGACAACCGAGTATTTCAACAGAGAATAAAAAAGAGTAAGCTGAGAAATGAAGCCGGCAATTAAATTTTCACTTGGAGCTCTATTTCTTGTCGGCTGCCAGTGGGTTGTAATTAATATGTCTATGATATATATATATATATATATATATAACATGTCTAGATATAAGTCAACGATCTTTCTTGCGAGGGTGCTATATCGTTACGAGTAACTAAACCTGTACCTATACATGTATATATATAATATATATCAATGAAAATAAATTAATTTTAAAACATGATACACACCAGTACAATGGACACACAGTGCCTGAACCTTTATATATTCAGGTAAATTATATGGCCTTCCAAATACCGTTTCGATCCCTAACATCACTGAAGAGACATTAATTGTCGAAATCCGGATATGGTGTTCAAATTTTTGCACCCCATGTTTGCGGTATACCATCTTTTCCACAAGTTTATTGTTTTCTGTTTGGTATTAAATTAATATTAAGATCCATTTTGTTAGATCTGGTGATCAATTTATTTGGCAATCGCCAATGGCAGTCGGCAGGGTTTAAGAACATCAGTTATTCGACCTGTTAGTCAAATGCGTTTTGTTAAAATAGACTTTTTCACTTTTTTTGGTCTTTTGGAAATTGTTGTTTGAGCTGTATTTAGACCCCTCTATCAAGAAATTTGTTTTTACATGCACACGTATAAAAATTGCGGTTTTTATCCAACGCAATCATAGGTTTGAACGTTGTTTTCAATTTAGACTTTTATATATATACATATATATATATATATATATATATGAGGTTTCGATAAATGAGTTGTAGAGTCAAAGTTAGAAGTAGAAATTTGTCAGTTTAGGTTTGAATCCCTGTTGTGCCTTTTCTTTAGTATTTCAGTTTTTCTTATTTTGTGTGTTATTGTTGATATTTTTTGTAATAAAAACTGATTTCCACGTTTATTTTTTGGTTCATTATTGACTATTTCATGTATTTCAAACGAAAACAACAACATCCATTTCGTCCATTTTTTTTATAAATATAGGGTGATTTCATCTGTTTTAATACATACCTTTAAATTAATTTTGCATGTTGGTAAATCACTATGTGTAAATCGTGATGTGCCTAGAGTTATGTTTCCTGCTAGAAATTCGGTAAAATACGTAAGATATATGCTTAAAAATTAGTTCGAATATGCCATATATTATAAAATACAGATAATATTCAGATTCACATAATAATTCAATGGAAATTTCAGTTCAGTATATCTATTGAGAGTGTATGCAATTTTGTTTTTAATATGTATTTCATGATTTAAATCCACTACATATATACTCCTAATTTTTGGTTGTTTCTTGTGAATTATTCAAGATAATTAGGTGGTTATTAAACACACTGATAAAAGGGCTTCGGATCGTGGTACCCTTTTAACGAACAAACGCTTATCCATTGTTTCATACGGTTTAATTTTTCTTGTTTCTCATTGGTTTATTTGGTCAAGTGTTTTCCAATACATATTTTGTATTTTTTCACTATTTTGATATATTGACTTGACGTTACTATTTTTGATCAAAGTACTAACTGAACATCGGATGACCGCAAGTTCTGGTGGATGGTCACAAGCACTTGTCTTAGAAAAAAAAATCATATCTCTATATCTGAAAGTTGGGTTAAGGTACATAGATATATTTTTTTTCTGAGACAAGTTCTTGTGTGGATGATGAATAAATGACAGGGAATTCAACCTCACCGTAATAATTATTATTATATTGTAGTGATATAATCATTTGTTATCAGTATACTCTGGTTTGTTGTTATATATTATATTAATATTTGTATAACAGTTATATATATAGCAGATCATCTTAATAACTCTACAGGCAAATTTTCACCCATTTATATATCATTCTATTCTACTATTCTAATGATAGTGCAGTGCAAGTGCATGGTGGACACTCATCTGTAATAATTCGTGTTTCTAATAGATTGGATTTGAGTAGGCATTCATATTTTCCCGCTTTTGTTGCAAAACGTTTTCGAGATATTCTTCCGCATGCGTTAACACATATTTTCGGTATTCATGATTTCGTTATTGATATATATATTCCTCACGACAAAACATTTTCACATCATTTATCCATGTTCTTAAAAAATATTTTCATGAATATTTATTGATGAAATTAATATATAACAAGCGATAAGGAATCTTGTTTTGCACTCGATAATATCCGCGTAATTACGTTCGCGGTTATCAGTCAAACGGCAAGGAAATTTCCGCGGCAACTAAACACCGGTATGACCTCTCAAGGTCACATCCGATGTAGAAATGCTATTGACTCCATGTTACTAAAAATAGTAACATTGAGTCAATATCATTTCCAAAAATAGTAACATCGAGTCAATATCATTTTCAACCTTACACTATTTACATATGTAATATATAAATTAAGGACTTTCTTTCAGTCAAACGTTATATATGGACCTGTTAGATTATATTGAACCTCGGACTTCGTCCTCGGTCAATATAATCCGAACAGGTCCATACAAGTATTATAACGTATTGACCTCGTCAAAAGTCCATAATTGATAAATATCGCACACCTTATGATTTTGATTTCATAAGGTTCAAAACAGTTTTCGACATCATTTTTCCCATAACAGATATATTTATAGAATTAGATGCTATTGAAATATGAATCAAATATATAATTTGAGTTATTTCCCTTAGAATGTAAAATCGAATTTGTGCACATTAGTTGTCGTGTCGCTTTTCGGAGGAGGAAAATAGGCTTTAAGTCGGCCATCAGATCTTTTTCAATTATATTCTTTATAAAATATTTTTAAATAAAATGAAATTGGTAATGAATAACCTATATTCTTCATATGTTTTAAATCTTGATAACGTCTCTCAACGTTTAAAATGTATTCCAAGGGAACGACCATTTAACTTCAAGGGGGAGAAGGGTTGTGGTTTTTTCCTAAAAAATATTCTGATCCCCAATTTAAAGAAAAAAAATATTGTGGTCAAGCAGATGACAAAAAAAAATATTCTGAATCCAGATTTTCCCCATACCTTATAGTGTTAAATTAAAAAAAAAATCTGACTCAGACAAAAAACCATAACCCCCACCCCTCTTGAAGTTAAATGGTTGCTCCTTAAAATATTTTACTATTGATATCCGTCTCTTTACAAAATATGTATTACTTTCATCATGTAATGTCAAGGTGTTAAACAATATTACTGTGGGTAAAACGAGAAAAAAAAACTGCATTGTAATATATGTATATAAGCATTATAAGTGTATATATGGATATGTAGGAGTTGGAATTGCAATGGGGACGCTGAAGTGCAATGGTCACGCTGAATTACGATGGTTCTTTCGCTGAAGTGCGATGGTTTGGCATGACACTTGAATATTGTGACGTTTTTAAATACAACGTTACTTTCGCACCAAGAACAGCGTGACCATCGCGGTTCAGAGTCCTATATATATAAAGAGAGTGCATAACAATGGATATATTATATAAAGTGCCTAACAATGTAGTTTTAACACAATATTTATTGGTGGCTTTGGGCTGTTTTCTACACTTTGGTTGGTTTGTTGTCTCTTTGACACATTCCCTGTTTCCATTCTCTATTCTATTGAAATGTTAAAAAAATGTTATATGTTGCTATTTATAGGCATACCGGTATATTAGAGAAATAAATATAGGTTCCAGCTCCGGTTGGGCAGGAAGTAAAGATATCAGATCTACTCTAACATTGTTAGGTTGATTTCTAGGTACTTTATATATAATATATATTCATATTTATAATATGTCATTGCAATTTATCTACCATTTCCTTTTTACTTGATTGCATAATTGTTCTTTCTTGCAACACACAGTGATAGAGGGTATACAATTAAGAAATGAACTGAATTGTAATTTTGGCATCTAAATTTATATGTCATGATTATAAATTGAGAAATAAAAAGATATCCTGCAAATTGCCTTGTTCTGTGTTTGTTCCCGTGGTACACATTGTTGGATTTATCACTGCTACTGTGCCACTGTTTGTTGTTATGTAGGCCTTGCAATCAGCGCCATAGTATGTTTTTACTTTGATGTTCTTAAACAGCGAAGTGTTAGACTTGTGTGCTTCTACCAGTACTGGTCCAAAAGTATATTTCTTGCTTGGTGTGGCCTCTATTGGTATGTTTAGAATGAATGAATAAATAAATATGTTCTTCTCGTTTAAAATATCAAACTCAAACGACCGAATATTGGTGCGGGAGTTTCTCACTGCATTGAAGACCCATTGGTGGCCTTCGGCTGTTGTCTGCTCTATGGTCGGGTTGTTGTCTCTTTGACACATTCCCCATTTCCATTCTCAATTTTATTTTTTACAGAGTTTGTCTTTAGTGCCGTGTGGAGACAGTAGAGTGCCTCCCCGTGCTTCAGGTTTATGCTCTTATACTATACTAGATTATGGAGTGTGTGTCCGAGCGAGAACTTCTCTATGTTCATTACTTTAGGAATATTTATCAAAAAGTAGTATTTCACATTCAGCCCCATTCTTCTATTTAGTCAGACGTCAGTCGCTACCCTGATATACCCGATCTTTTGTTTTATTTTTCGGGTAATTTATGACGGATAGCGTTTGACGTCTTTAGCCGAACAGTTTTATCATATTCACATAATTCAATTTATTGTGTGCTGGTTCATATTCTGGACGCCAGTCTTTGCTCCTTTCTAATAAAATCCACATAACAAAAAACAAACATGAAGCTTAGAAATGGAAAAATATTAAATACTAAACTCGTTCAAAGGGTATCTACACGTCTCAATCTTCAAAATCGCTTATCTAAAAATACTACCATCGCTAACATTTTTAACAATAAAAATCGTGGTTACCCTTCTATCGACAAGTGTCATGCCAAAAAATGACTTACATGTCCCCGTCTTTCCACCAACAATACGGTAAGGTCTACGTTTAATGGTCGCAGATTTTCTTTAAATTTTGAAACTGATATAACTTGAAAAACAAACAGTATTATTTATTTACTCACATGAAACAAACCGGGATGCGGTATTCAGTACGTAGGTGAAACTGGACGATATTTATCTAAACGCACGCAAGAACACCTGTATCGTTTTAAAAGACCCAATAAATTCAAAAGTATCATTTATCAACATCTTAAAAAGCACAATCATCCTATTAAATATTTAACAGTTCAACCTTTAGAAGTAGTAAATAAGCAGCCTGGTGAATCTCATTCAAAGTTTGTACGATCACGGAAAATAATTGAATTAAATTGGATTAAAAAATTACAGACAGTCTACCCTCTCGGTCTTAATGATAATATCATGGGAATTGGTAATATATCAAGATCCGATTCTGTTAACATTTTGGATATAGTTTCTAAAACCGTTCGTAAAAACCGTTCTCATGGGCGTAGAAAAAATCGCAATCAAAGAAAATTTCAGACCAACCATACAAATATTTCGGACCTAATTTCTATTTCAAAAAACAACGGCAGACATTATCTATTAATCAAGCTCTGTTCTTTACCTATAAATAAATTAAGTAAAATTTTAGAGGATTGCAACACAATTTCATATTGCAGTCCTAAGTATGAAATCGTTCAAATTATAATGGCATATTGTTATTCTAAACTGTTTCCAAAAATTGATCGCCCTGAAGATCATAAAAAACATTTTATTAAAATAAAGTATGTCAATAAAGGTTTTGATTTTGTAAATATTGCGGGTATTTTTAACGACCATTCTGTTAAAGAACAAATTCCTGGATATTTTGATAATACTGAACTCCCACTTATTTGTTATATTTACAAGAAATCTACCCGAAAATTTGTGTTTAATTATATCCAAGTCTGTAAAGATGTAAATATGAGTGAAAATACACCTCCATCATGTAATTGTAGTAATTCCGAATACACTTATGGCCCCATTTCCCATGTTATTACAGGAGACCTTAACATCGTTCGCGACCGAGAGTTAAAATCATTCCTCAGTAAAGGACCTAAATATCGTCCCCCGTCAATTATTAATTGGAATGAGTGTCGTAATATCATCCACGACTCACTTCGTGCTTACTGTTTGAAATGGATAAAACGGGAAAAACTTGACAAAAAATCTTTGGACTCTTTTTTTAATTCAGTAATGAAGATAGTTGATATACGTATACTACATTTTAAAGAACAGTTTACTCTTAACAACAACCAGAAAAATCCTATTTCTCGTATCAAACATAAACTAAAAGAACTAGCCAAGGAATTTGTTTTTGTCCCGGCTGATAAAGCTGCTAATAATATCATTATAGTTTGACGTAAATTTTACATTGAGGTTCTGCAAAAGGAAATCACGAATTCACCAACATTCCAACTGACTTCATTTTCAGAAAACGATATCTGTAACAAACATAAACTATTAGCTACTTCTTTACAAGCAGAACCAAATACAATGAAAGTCCCAACTATGTACTGGCTTCCGAAGCTACACAAATCACCTTACAAATATAGATTTATTTCGTCTTCAAGTCATTGTTCCACTACTAAATTGTCTATTCTACTTACTAGTACACTTGGTACAATCAAAAACCTGATAATAAATTGTTCAAATAAGGCCTTTGAAAATAGTGGAATTAACTACTTTTGGAGTGTCAAAAACTCGTTGGAAGTACTTGATAAATTGCATGCATATATTGGTGATTTTGAATCTGTTCAAAGTTTTGATTTTTCTACCCTATATACCACTTTGCCTCATATTCTTATTAAGAAAAAATTCACACACCTAATTAAATGGGCATTTAAAAAGTCGGAATGCGAATACATATGTTCAAACTCTTTTAGGTCATTTTTTAGTAGCAACAAACAAAAAAGCTATGTCAATTGGACATGCTTTGATACTATATCTGCCATTGAATTTTTACTTGATAACATTTTTGTTCGCTTTGGAGATTCCGTATATCGTCAAGTTATCGGAATTCCAATGGGGACTAACTGTGCACCACTTATTGCGGACCTGTTTTTGTATTGTTATGAGTTACAATTTATGACTAAAATCAGCAAAGACCCATCGAAACAACATCTGATACAAAAATTTAACAATACTTTTAGATATTTGGATGATATATTGGCTCTCAATAATGACGACTTCAGTATGTATACTAAAGAAATTTATCCTGTTGAACTTACTTTAAATAAAGCTAATACTAACAATGACCACTGTCCTTTCCTCGATCTTGATATCTATATCATTAACGGGAAGCTTAATACAAAAATTTATGATAAAAGAGATGATTTTTCATTTCCTATCGTTAATTATCCATTTTTAGATGGTGACGTTCCCTTGTCACCATCTTATGGTGTTTATATATCTCAACTTGTACGATTCGCTCGTGTATGTAACAACGTATTAGATTTTAGCGAGAGAAATTTATGTATTACTGAAAAATTATTACACCAGGGTTTTCGATATCATAAACTAGTCAAAACATTTACTAAATTTTATCATCGGTATAAGGACATCATTCGTAAATATAACTCAACATGCAGACATCTTATACGTTCGGGTATTTCACATCCAATCTTTTATGGTAATATTCTTTACAAAGCACAAAAATGTCAGTATTTACCTCAAAAGCTAACAAAACCTTTAAACAGACTTATTAAGAAGGGATATAGTTACGATACTGTTGTCAGGTCATTAAAGATTGCATATTTTGGCTTTAATATTGATTCACTTATAGGGTCTTTGCATCGGAATTAAACATATTTATTCTAAAACCAGTTGTTGGCATGACACGGGTTATGTTCTTCTCATATATTTTATGATGGTATAATACATAACCCCTAACAGGAGGGATTGTGCCTGATATTCATATGATGAAGACATAATCTTTCAATCAGTTTAATTGAGGTCTGGAGCTGGCATGTCAGTAACTGCTAGTAGTCTGTTGTTATTTATGTATTATTGTCATTTTGTTTATTTTCTTGTGTTTCCTATTCTGACATCGGACTCGGACTTCTCTTAAACTGAGTTTTACTGTGCATACTGTGCGTACTGTTGTACGTTTGTTTTTTCTACATTGGCTAGAGGTATAGGGGGAGGGTTGAGATCTCAAAAAACATGTTTAACCCCGCCGCATTTTTGCGCCTGTCCCAAGTCAGGAGCCTCTGGCCTTTGTTAGTCTTGTATCATTTTTAATTTTAGTTTGGAGTTTAGTATGACGTCCATTATCACTGAACTAGTATACATATTTGTTTAGGGGCCAGCTGAAGGACGCCTCCGGGTGCGGGAGTTTCTCGCTGCATTGAAGACCCATTGGTGGCCTTCGGCTGTTGTCTGCTCTATGGTCGGGTTGTTGTCTCTTTGACACATTCCCCATTTCCATTCTCAATTTTATGTATCTCGGGCTTTTGATTTTTAACTTTTGTGGTTGAAATCTCCATTGTCGTCGCTAAAATAAAAATTTCTCTCTAAAGTCTGCATTTATTTCAAGGTTATGCTAAAAACATACTCAAGTTCTACAAATTTGTAGCAAAAACAAGAAACTGTGAACCAACTACATATGATAAGATGTGGTGCGTTATTTAAGTTGTTAAGTATGCTATGTAAATGTGTTATAATTATGACAAATAAACTCATCACAAATAAATGTACAAAGATTAAAATTTTGTACGCCGCTCGAATCAATTGCATTTTATTCTTGGGACAGAAGATCCTTAGTTTTTCGAAAAAAATCAAAGTTTTTTACAGAGTTAATTTACAATTATGACCATATAAATGATAATTTATATCAACACAGAAGTGCTGACTACTGGGCTGGTGATATCTTAGGGAAGAAAAACTCCACCAGCAGTGGCATCAACCTAGTGGTTGTAAATAAACTCATAGATACCAGGATTAAAATTTGTATGCCAGACGCGCGTTTCGTCTACAAAAGACTTATTCCTAAAGGTTTTGCAAAAGGCAGCTAAGGTAA